AATATATAATATATAGCAACATTCATATATACTGGGAGCTACACAAAAAGTATAAACACCTCCGTAGCAACTATTTTTTTCAATTCTTTGATACAATATTAATAAATGAAATTTAATATGCCTCTGAAATATATGTTTTTTCATGTACCTAAATAGCCTTAAAAGTTGACAAAAAATTACAGACATACAAGGGAATAGTATATTAAGTATAAAATTAATTACAAACTCTAAGTTTTCGATTCTATCTCGTCAAGATGATTGCGGAATGCCAATTATTTGTAATAAAAATAAACCAATAAATATCTTCATTTCTATGTTACCAAATTTGTTTAACATGTGTAGTGATATAATAATACGAGATTATTATTGCTCAAGAGCAATAGAGATAAATTCTATTTTCAAATTTGATAAAACATGTATAATAAATTTATTAACAATTGATCAAGTTCAATTTTGAAAATTTACAAAAAATTAAACGTGTTAAATATATATAAATCACTAAGAGATAACGGTATGTCTCAAAATCAATAATATAGTTTATTTATAGACATTGATAAAAAATATGACTCATATTTTTGTGACAAGTTCTTAAAATTTAATTCTCGTTTTAATAAGGGATTCTAATCTAATTCGTCTTACTAAATTGATGCTACAGAAATTATCTTCTACAAACAGTAGCTCCATTTTTATGTGATCATAATGTGGAAAAGCATAATAATAATAATATAATAATAATAATATAATAATAATAATTTATTTAATCCATTGTGATCAAAAATGACATTGGACAGGTCAACACAAATATTTGTTACAAGCAATAATGTAAAAACAATGAACAAAGATACAAACAAATAATGTACAATAACAACACAATAATACATAAATATAAAAAATGTATTACGTTGTTACTAAGTAAATATGTCGGCTACTTTGTAAAAACATTTACTCACAAGGTAGTTCTTAAGTCTAGATTTAAGAGAATTTAGATTACTTTCAGTTTTTATATTTTCTGGTAACGCATTAATTAATTTTATACCCATGTAAGAAGGTGACTTTTCGTCATAAGTAAAATAAAGGAAATAAGATATAGTACCTTTGTAAATATTTTACTAGATTCTAGTACGGACTGACATTTATCGTATTAGATTAATCGACTTTTGAAAACTTTCGGTATCGACTTCAGCAGCAAAACCGTCACACCTGAATTATCTGTTAATCCATAATTAATTATGTTAAAATTCTGTTGCATAATCCGTCAACCAAAAAGCATTAAGAAACCTCATCATGTTCTTGTCCGTCCTGTGATTATACAAATAATTTTAGACTTTATTTGTTTGCACGTAATTTAACCGTTAATTATAAAGACAAGGAAGGACTGTGGTTGCGAATAAAACGAATGCAGCCTACCAACTTTGGGCAGTGCTCAGTATGATGTAAACTTATGTAACAGAGATATAAGTCAAGGTGTAAAAATTTACATACAGGCCATTTAAATATTATTGGTTGATTGAAATATTAGTACGGGTAATTTGTATTCCATCTGCAAAGGTAAATAAACCAATCCATTGAAAAAAACAGAAGTGTACGAGGCGTCTGCAAATATTTATATTAGGCTGATGCCAAAACAATGCAGTTCTACGAACTGGGACTATATAACAAATGCTGTGCATACTTTAACGTGAAAAATGCCTTTAAGTCACGAGTGTATGTAAATATAGCCTCGGTTGCGTTTTTCTGCAACTGTTAAATATGAAAATAAATTTATATGAAGCGCCTGATATTTGCGACATTCTTTCCAATAATTTGTATTAACAATACAGTTTTATTTTTAGTACCTGGAAAGATACAAGGGAAATATTAATAATTTCCTGTAAATTTTCGTATTCGCATACTGTAAGTAATAAACTGAGAAATATTGTTTATAAGAGTTAATTTACAAGTTTTTTTTAGTGCGTTATACTTATAATATTCCATTCAAAACAATAGTCGAATATCGTTGATGTCTGGGCATAAATAAAACTAAAAATAATTATTGAAGTGTGCATTAAACAATATGGAAAAACGGTAAGCTTATTTTGCTGTATCCTGCTGCATATGTAATATATTATGTGACGATAAAGGAAGTTCTACAATAGAAACAAACAGGAAACGTTAATCATTTTTTTTAAGTTAATTCCCTTGTAACGCAAAATAATTAAACGGCACTACAATTGGCAAAATAATACTGCATATTATGTTTAAACTGCTCGTAGTTACCTGTGATAAAAAGCTAAACGCGAATAAACACAATATTAATTTAATTTCACGTCATCAAAATTCGCAATGTAAGTGTAGATATAAATCGATTCAATACGAGCCAAGAATCACGTAGGCCAACCGAAGAAATAACCCTACAGGTCCACGGGTGTATCTTTTTACTTGTGGTCATTTCGAAAATATTTACAAAATTATGATAAATACCTCAGATTCCACGTTCATGTCAACGCACTCCCAGGGCCGGTGCAGGGCTTTCTTCGATATTTTACTGACGTTTCTGTAATTACGTCAAATTAAGGACTTACGTGAAATTCACCAAGATTTTGACCTCCAAGAGGCCAATGATCCAGACACGCTTGATGCCACTGCAGATTCTCTGATTGATGTGCGGTCAAACCTGAAATACCTACTTATGTAACATACTAAGTGGTATTCTTCCACTCACCTGTTCATTTTTGTATTACTCGTATCTATTCTACTAAACTCGCTTTAGCATATAGAAAGTTCAAATCGGCTTATATTTCCATTTTTTTCTGTAACCCTCTCGATAAATTTCATTCACAACAACGTATTCGACAAAAATTAAGACAATTTGTATAAAAAAAAGTCAATCCAAATAGAATAGACATATTCCGTTTTGCAAACCTGATCAAGAAAATCACCAGTCTTTTTCATGAACTAGAATAGAAACATGTTGTTTGAAAAATTATCATCGAAAACAAGGAAGCAAATGTCCTGTTATAATACCATCTCATATATATTATAATTATATAAACATTTCTATATGATGACAGGTCAATCATGTCCAAAATTTTTCATACATGCCATATCCTTGGCCTTTTTCTTTCTCTTTTAAAAGCTACCAAGAGAAGATTTGAATACACAACTCAATTCTAAAGCTATTCCATCTAAATGTACCCCTATTTTCCTTCCACGTTGTATTCTGTTGGTGAGTGGAGTATTTTATTTGCTCCAAAAGTGGTAATAAAGAAGGCTATGTATAGTCCACGAAGGTAATTCAATTTGTAATTAAGCTTGTCTATATTTCTTTTACAGATATATAACTCGTCGATTGCAATGGGTTAATAAACTCTCTTAAATGTATTTATTTTGATTGATATTGCACTTTTATTGTTGCTTCTGGAGGAGTTCATATCAAAACAGAAATAAAAACCACAAATGTAATAGCCTTGCATAAAAAACTCACTAATGGATTTCCACTTCCACTTTGCATTATAATTTGATAAAGTTGCACAACAGCAAGAATTCCCATGGCGATAATGTATATTGTATTTAAATGTCTCAGGTGGACGACATAAATTTTGTAATTTCGATTTTATTGCACCATTGGCATAAAAAAATATGTATTTACAAAAACTGTAAAGCTGATCTCGTAAAATAAGTGCAATGCCACTCTGTCCTCTTAAAAGTATATAAGTTTATGAATTCATTTTTATCGTGCTAAGAGAACAAGGACCCGTAAATCCTTTTAAAAGCTTGACAGTCATAATTACAACGAGACTCTGACTCGTGTAGAAATAAAACCTTGATCTTGGAATTATTACTAGCAACTTGATCGATGTTTCTGACACGTTATCTAATGGATATTTTTATTTCTATTTATGTAATGATGACTGTCGCAATTTCAGCTTAGAAGTACATACAATTAAGTTTCCAAAATTGTGTTTCATTAGAACATTTTTCTAGAATTCGTACCAATAAAAAAAACTCTACCTTCTTTTACGATATGTAAATCTAAGTTTAGAAATGCAAAGGCTATTTCTATGTCCTTTTCTTTCTGGACATATTTGACTCATGCCAACTTTTTTGATAGGACATCATATCTTGATTACGAAGCATTAAAAATATGTGGAAAACACAAATATTTAGGAAATACTTATCGGGTTTTCAAATTTCAGTAAAATATGTTTATAGCTAGATATTGGAAAGAACCCTATTGTTTTAAACTTTGATAAAAATATAGATAATCCAAAATTTTGTTAGTAAATAAAATTCGATGTGGAAAATGACGTGGCAGTGGATTGCAATAGATACTGGTTCAGGTTTATTGTTTTTATAAAAATAAATGTTTAAAGTCATGATCACGTACTACCGACTCTTAATATTTTATAGACCACGAACGTCTCGTATAAAAAATGAATTTCTTTTATTTTCTGCAGTTTTATATTGTCAATATAATTTGTGTTATTATAGTAATGGGGACATTTTGATAAAGGACAGATGATAGTCCTGTTGCTATGTCCAAAGTACAAACTGTTAAGATTTCATGTTTATCGATATGTTTATAAACACCTTTTTATCTATTTGCACAAATTTTCCACACACAAATCAAGTAGCTACTAGATATTTTTTTGCTGATATTATATCACGATATTTAAAATAAATTTATAAAATTCTTCAAATTATTTAAGGAATTCTTAATTTTTTATTAATTATTTTTAAGATTATTTCCTCTGTACCTATTAACAATATCTAACTAGATATTATTCAAAAAGTAATTCAGCTAAATAAGAAGAGAAACAAGGTAATTACGATTTTAAATCAAATTGGTATGAATGTACGTGTCTTTTTATTAAATAGGACGATTTGTTGTCGTTCACAAAATTGCCAACATTGTCGACGGTCAACGTACGATAATCATACAGCTGAGCCAATAATTCGATTGTTTATACAATTAACGGTGTAATAATTACAAGAGGAAAAAAATTTAAAAGACCTGCATTAATCAACAATTCATCTTACAATGGACTGTAATCTGATTAACTAATAAATCGGAACAGAAATATATTTACAAATCAGTCAATCGTCTAGACTCATACTATTTGTAAACAGTGGCGTGCCAGCAGCAATTTTAATTTTATAAATAATTTAATGTAATATGGAAAATATCATCTTTTGACTTTAATAACAGTTTCCAACATTTCTGAGCTATATTCGAAAATAAGGAAAATATTTTAAATATGTTTCTAAATTTGTTACTTTAGAAAACAAATATACTGCAAAAAAATATTTTCGTATGCTCATTTTATATAAAAGTTTGCAAATCCGGTACAGGTCTTCTATGTTCAAAAATATAGTTGAAGATACCCCCAAGAATGTTAGAAAGTTTATGACATTAACAAGATAAAATAAATTCAAGTAAGCTATAATTTATCTCATATTTCTCGACCATTGGTGTAATAGTACTTCTCCTATTACTTGTTTAACTCCAGTGCAGTTACCTTCCTGTCCCAGATGTCTGTTGATATCCTCACGACGAAGACGCTTCTTCTTGGTATCCTTATTGTATTTTGTGAATACTAAAATATTTTATTGTCCTTTAATATCCACTAGTTGCGGGGACTAAAAATTTACTTAAGTTTACATAAAATACAAATACAGTTACGGACGTCAATGTATTATTAGTAGCGCCCGGTATTAACATCTAGATGCTCAAGATGTGTATCTTTTTCTTTCCATCTGCTGTCATTAAAAAAGGACAAAACACGTCCAGAGCATCCAGATGTCAATACCGAACGTGTTATTGTTAGATTCCAGATTTTCATACACAAAATTAGTTTAATACTCGCAAGAATAAAAAAACGATTGTGGCTATACGAAATTTCAAAACAATATTATTTCTCATTTACTGGTTCTGAGACTGGTTCCAAATCTAGTTACCTGTTATCATTTTACCAAACTATATAAGATTAAATTCCGTGAATTTTGCTAGGACATGTACTTCCTAAAATCAATCCTTTTTATCAAAGCAAAATGACTGATAACATTCGGTTTCTAAGAAATGAAATAATAGTTACATCGTTTTCATGAGCCATCCCATACTTCTAACAAAAGGACCTTAGTTAAAAGTGTTTAACTTATGTAATACAAGAATTTGACATTTTTAACGATGATTTATTCTGATTATATTTTAAAAGTATTTCAGCAGTGGCGGAAGAACGAACAAGGACAGGCAAAGTGAACTTTTAAACAGAAATATATAATTTAGAAACAACAGTTAAGTCCTCTTATTATTCATCTGTTCTGTTTCATCTGGTAGTAGTTTTAAGGAATATTGTCAATGTGTTACTAATTACCCAGAACAGATGCGTTTTTGAAATATTATAATAATTACTAGGCATCATAATAACACTCTAGTTTACTTGGAATGAGATAATGTGATTTATTATATATTTGAACTGCTGAATATATGTCTGTTATATAACAATAACTTTGATTACTTTAATACTTATTGTATACATAATCCATAGTTTAATATGTTTACTTCGCAATTTAAATCTATTAAATAATTAAAATTATAATTAAAAATACAATTCTATCAAAGAAGTTTGCGGTGTAACAAAATAACCGCCTATAGAAATTAGGTCAACAGTTTTTGTCGGGTGCTCTAAGAATTCGAGGTTAAAAATTTGTCTCAGTAAGCAAATTAGAGATTCGTGCCATTCGTCAGGTGCTCTCCCAAAAATTGTATCTCTAGGACCTTTTATGTAAGATAATTTTTCTCTGGATGCTATATTTAAATCCACTGTCCCAATACCTGTGCAACTGAAAATATATTTTTAAACATAATTTTGGCTGTATTGTATCCCAACATATAAACCTGCTAGGAAAAACATTTTTACGATGTGGAAAATGATCAATCTTATAGTTCCTAGAAAAAACTTTTCAGTTTAATAAGATAAAAAGTAACCACTGGTTTGTTAAACATGATGCGGATCACGATACAGGCGCCAATTCTTGGTAATATAGTTGCGTTTACAGTTAAATTTACAACCATAAACTTTTACAGAATTGGGATGGAAAAAATACCTTCACCACTCTACAACCAAATTAAGCAGTGTTAAATATGATACTGATGATGAGATAATTCAAGAGCAATTTTAAGAAATGTTTATTAACGTAAATAGAATATTTGAGAGGTTTGGAACCCCTTATTTGATAATCCATTAACATTATTTAACATCCGTAAACGCAGACGCATCATACATATAACATATAAGATCTATATAAATAGAAATATTAATCGTTAATAAAATTCAGGGAATTTATTAACGGAATATTCTATCACGTTAAAAAAGATGGTGATGAAAAAGCAAGAACTAATACTGTTCACTGAAGTTTGAGAGATATTTGTCATTTGTGCCTGATTTTACACATCTATTACCTATTTGAATTAAAGAAATGGCTAAAGAAATATTTTACTGCATACTATATGGCAGTGCTTTACAAACATACAAGTTGTCATATGTAAAAGTCCCATAAAAAGTAAGAAAGCTTACGCCAATTTTGGTTAAAGTCGAAAGTACAGACGTTAATCAATGCGGAAGAAACTTATTTACAATAATTACGAAACATAAAATTCTAACATTGTCTGATGACAAATGGACCTATTAACACAAATAACCATGTTACATAGTGCTTTGTACAAGGCTACTAGGATATACGATACCTATAGTATAGGTAATAGACACCCTTTTTCTGTATATCCTTGTATCATACTATTTTCTGAACAATTACAGGAAAAACTGATTTATATATTTATATGTAGGTATGGGTATATGAATTTTGATAGAAATTGTGTATTTATGGATAACAATGGATCAAATCAGAGGTATAGGCAACTAGATATACACTATTTCAAAGTTTTGTGTCGCCTATAAACCATGAAAATAGAAACTTATAAATTAAATATAAAAACCCTTACATTTTGTGTTACTTAAATTTGAACAGAATATTATCCAGTAACACTAATTTTGGAACATCTTAAAATACAATTAGGTACTGTCGGTATTTCAATAATATTTAAGAAGTGTTGCAAGCATATTTTGATATACCTACCTATAGATTTTTATTTTTATCTGGTATTATTATACGTTGAGAAGTTATAATTTTTGTGCAAAAAATGTGATAATTTATAGTTTTTTAAAAGTTGACATTTTTCAGGCCAAAGATGGTACTGTTTTCAATAATATTGGTACATATCGTCCCTGTTATCACGTAGAGGCGTATGTGTATATCCATTTCTTGGAATATACGCCCCTACGTGATAAGAGGGACGATATGTATAATTATCTGCACGGCAGTCGGCAAGTGGCAACATTAACATTAAACACTATTCAACCCAGTGCTGCCTACCTGTAGGAAATTACACAGATGAGCCGGCGAAGCAAGAAGAGCGCCAGAAGAAAGGGCCCTAGCCGGCGGGACCCAGCCAGGACAAAAAAGGAGTTCCCACAAAGCCCCTACACCGGTCGCATTTGCAGTCGGGGTAGACGACGGATGGGGCCCACCTACGAAGGATGTCCAGGCCTACACGAGATGAGGTAGGATAAAGAGGGATAGCCATGGAATAATGGCGGTGCCATAGGAAATTTTATCTCAAAATGGAGAATTAGAATCTAACAACAATAGCATTTTAATGGGACATTTGACTTTGACCTACTATCAGTGACACTACTGATGAAATTAGTTTAGATTACATAGTAGTACAGTTGACTGCAGTTTAGATAAAACCACAGACTATCGAAATACGATGGAAGACAAATAAATGTAGAAAATAATCTAGATTGCGTCATCTGTCAAATGTGCAGTATGGCATGCTCACTGAATTATAGAATAATTCAGTGGGAAAAGCAGCGTCTCAGTGGCCAAAAGTATAGCGGACGTTTAGAAAGAGAGAGAGGTATATGAGGGTATACATACAGGGCTGGAAAATCCACATGGTCCATCTGCCTTTACATGAGAGCGACAAAGTAAAGTAAAGAAATCGTGCGATAGACAAGGATGGCTATAGTGAAGACGTTTCATAATCTGAATAGTCACCGCCCGTTTCGGGTTCGAAGTGGAACCATCCTTGTCTATCGCACGGATTCCTATGACTTACTTTATCGCTCTCACGTAACGGTCGATGTACCATGGGGACTTTCCGAACCTGTATATACTCCTGTAGCTCTCTCTCTCTCTAAACCTCCGCTACGCACTCGGCCACTGGGACGCTGCTTCCAGTAGTATATGCTCTAAGATATATACTTATTTACAACGACCTCAGAAAGGATAGACAATGCATTGTCTTGGTTTGTTTTGTTCTACTGTAAATATTTTGAGAACTCAGCCTCCCATTGGCTAAAGACATGTGGTAAGGTGCGCGCGCAGTACCTGCTCTATGCTAGATGTTTATTTTTGCTTACGACTGTCGGCCGCCATTAATTCTTTGCATGCTTACTGAGTTTAACGTTGTGTTTACCGTGGATTATTAGTTTCTTTGGCAGAATTTATTGTTTTTGTGAATAGACAATGGGAAAATATTGTGTTATATGTAGATTTCGCTTTAAAAGTGGAGGCAATCGCTCTTTTCACAGGTAGGTAGATTTACCATGGGCGTAACAGATAACAGACGGTAGTTTAAAACAAAATTTGAAATAGAAAATTTTCAGTGCAATAATATTGAAAATATAAAATATTTTTTTAAAACGTGAATTGTGTGTTACGGTTAAATAAAAAGTAACATGAATTGCAAAGGCAACATTATTTAAAAGGAAATATACCTAGGTAATTTGATTTTAGGATTCCTTCGAATGTTGAACGCCGAGACGTTTGGCTCTCTCGCATTTTGAGCTGTATAGGAAAGGCAAATAATCCTAAAGATAGTGTTGTATGTTCAGATCACTTCACATCAAGTGATTTCTTAATAAGACCTGGTGGCCGAGTTTATCTTAAGGACACAGCAGTTCCTGAGTTCCCAAGTTCGTTTAGTCAAAATACAGGACCCCTATTAAAATTGTATAAACAATTTTTTGCACATAATTCGGGATCACTTTGTANTCCCAGGCTGCATAGCCGCACTACCCTACCCAACCATACCACACATAAACATGACACTACCCCCGGGGTTTACACAGACGAGCCGGCGAAGCAAGAAGAGCGCCAGAAGAAAGGGCCCTAGCCGGCGGGGCCCAGCCAGGACAAAAGGAGGTCCCACAAAGCGCCTACACCGGCCGCATTTGCGGTCGGGGTAGACGACGGATGGGGCCCACCTACGAAGGCTGTCCAGGCCTACACGAGATGAGGCAGGATAAAGAGGGATAATCCCCCTCGATCCCAAATCATTGAGGCCAATTTCTAGCCATAGAATAATGGCGCGCGCGGCGCGGCCACTGGGACGCTGCTTCCAGTAGTATATGCTCTAAGATATATACTTATTTATGATACAACTAAAAATTGATTTGTTTTATAAACCAACTTTTAGACAATGTATTGTAAATGAAAAATCCATTTAACCCCTTAGAACTTAAAAAAGCAGTTTTATGTTTATAATATTTTTGCAAAATCAAAATAAGTTTTTATTTTATACCAAGTGTTTTACAGACTAAAACATTTTACAATATTAAAATCATGTTATTTCACCTAAAATTGCTTACTTTAAATTTATGGGAAAATTTGTATCTGAAAGGGAAATTTCATAATTAGCTGTTGGAATTTTGTTTTGTCAGAGTTGGCAGCACTGCAGCTTAACCGGTAACCGGTACAAATGCGATACAGCAAATATTGAAAGCAGTTCTGAGCTCAACGTAAAAGTTTGCCAAAAGTTTATCTAATAAGTTTCCCGCCAAAATATTATTTTTAGCATTCACTAATCACTATCGGTTGTCATAATTCTTTGTAAGCTTACTACAAAATAGAAAAAATGAACAACTAATACATTCATGTATCGTGTTGTTTTGTGATCTATGTCTTATCTATATTTTGTTAGGCATTTCACGAGGTTAGTGTTATTTTTTAATATACTTTTCGATCTTACAACTGATATAAATAAATTATTAATTTATGTATTTTTTTATATTTCAGTACTAGTTTTTAGTGACAAGATGAATAATTTTGGTGGAGATTATCTCGGGGAAAATAGTGATTTTGAAGATGAGGAATATGACAGCGAAAAAGAGGACTATGAAGAAACTTATTACAGACAACAAATTGAATCTGATAATGATTCCAATGCAAGAAATAGCGATTCTGATAATGATTATAGAAGGGAAAAAAGTGAATTGGAGTTATTACGTGAGAAAAATATAAAAGAAAGAGATGCATTTTTAGCAAAACTTATGAATGATCCAGAATATGCCGATGTTGTAGCTTCTGCAAATGAACTGAAAAAATCAAATATTAATAAAATTACAAAACCAAGAAGAGATCCCTCCTTTCAGTACAAAGGACAGTTTAGTATTCCAGTTGAGAAACGTAGATCCAGTAGGTTGCAAAATGTACCACCAGTCTTTTTCAAGGAAGATTTGATCGATGAAATTGAAATGAATAGGAAAAGAAAAAGATCACAGGAATATGATTATTACGACTTAGAAACAGTTATTTATCATCCTAAAAAGTCTAGAGCATCTTCTCATAATACAGTTCGAACACCAATTGTTCCAGTAGAAGATATTACAGATAACATGATAGCCAATATTGCTAGAAAAGGGACCACAAAGGTATATTCTGATACAGGAACAAGTTGTCACCAATGTAGGCAGAAAACTAAAGATCAGAAAACTTTCTGCAGAAGTCTCAGTTGTGTCGGAGTGAGAGGACAGTTTTGTGGAGTATGTCTAGAAAATAGGTAAAACAGCATCAAATAATGTAAATGTTGATATAAAAATTTCAAATATTTATCTAATTCTACAGATGATCCTTAAATATGTTCAGATGATAAAGCTAGTGATTTTTTAATTATTTTAATAGTTCCCATGGACACATATGCTAAATCGTATAGTTTTTGAAATACAGGGTGTTAAAAGTTTTTGTAAAATAAACTTAGATTATCAAATTTAATTGTGACTTAACTAAGTAAAGGTAAAAATTCACCGAGTTAGTATGCAGTGACATCAACCAGGTGCTCTTGATGTGAGAAATACATCTCTAAGAACCTCAGAGTATTTGTCTAAAATAAGCTTACCACAGTTTCATAGATTAAAAGTAATTTTAAAACTACTTATTTCGTTGAAAAATATATAGGAATTTTTTGCTGGAAATACAATTTTGAATACAGTACTTTAAGCAGAATAAAATCAGTGACTTGGAAACTTTCACACTTGCTTTCGTCCGCGATGTTTTATTTGATTTTTTATTGATTATTTTGTATTGTATTGTTTTATATTCTTGTTAAAATTTTATTTACAACAAAAAATTTCTATAATATTTATCGGTTTCAGTTATTTTCAGTTTATTCAGTAGTGTGGTAAAACTATTTTAAATTAAAAATAAGTAATGAACATTATAAAGTGACTAATTTTTTTGTAATAATAATATCTCTCATTCTAATCGCAAGGATTAGCCCAGAAGTCGGAGCTTTGTGGGGGAGAGGGGACGGCATATTATTATTCAGTAGTCTGTATGTGCGCCCAGGAATGACTTACGTTGGTAAGCTCATTCAGTGCAGGAATGAGGAAAACCTCATTAATTAGAGGGGCGATCAAGCAGCGACTGGTATCAATCTCTCACATTAACCAAGCCAACGTCTTCCACCCTGCCATACCTGAAGCGAGGGAGCCTAATTCCTCTCTACGAATATAGCTACGGTCTTACACTCACGAGAATCAAACCTGCTACAGTGACATTCATTGTATCAAGTACTGACACCTCCAACAGCTCGGGTTCCGATCGACCTCCTATAAAGTAGAAAAAACCTTTTCTGTTTGAAATACAATTAAGAATCAAATACATTTCTCAAATTTCTAAAATAGTCAGCGAGGTTGAAATTGTGGGATTTTCAGTGTATCTCACTAATTTATATAATTATATAGAAGTTCATTGAGTCTTTATTTATACTTGGTTAAATTACCAGCATGTCAAGGATCTTCCAAAGTATTTGTGAAGACATATTTTTCAAAAAATTTCTTTACGGAAACATAGGTACTTAAGGAGTACGTAATTACATAAACACTGCAAAATAATATAATAATACAAAATACTTATTCTACTAAATCAGTCATTCATTTTGTATACTCCTAGATATGGTGAAGATGTTGCTGTAGTATTAAAAGACCCTATGTGGAAGTGTCCTGTATGCCGTGACATATGCAATTGTTCTTTTTGCCGTCACAAAGCAGGTAAACGCCCAACGGGAATTTTAGCTCCACTGGCTCAACAGTCTGGTCATAAATCTGTAAAAGATTTCCTTGAAAGTTTAAAAGGCGAGGGTGATTATGTTCACCAAGATGCCGTATGGAAGAAGTTGAATGACTCCAGTTGCCTTTTAGGATATTCAACTGATTTAAAATTTGCTCATATGGGTAGAAATGTTACACACAAAATAAATTCCTTTTTGTCTTGGGAAGGACTAAAGAACTTCATTTGCAAAAAGGAAAATGAATTAGAATCTGTGATAGACCACCACAATGAACCTAGGTGTTTATTGGGATTTTTCCAAGGTACAGATAATGCTCTTTTGGACGATGGCAGTCACTGTCACATGGGCCCAACATATTTAAAATATGAACAACTCATTCAAACAATGCAAGCCAAACTAACAGTAGTCGAAAAAGAATATATCACTATCACTAAGACCTTGGAAATAACTGGAAGGAAGCGCATAGGTAAGAATATTTTAAAAAATACTCGCAATATTTTACTCTCATTTTACTTTGTTTTGTAGATGATGTCAGTAAAAAAGAAATAAATTATAATGAGACTTTAGAAGGAAAAAAGGAATTTGTTCTGACACAGGAAAACAAGTTAGTTGTGAAACAATTTCACCATGAGGCGAAAGTTGCAGAAATAATTGAAAAAAAGTTCTTATGTACGGAAGGTACTAGAAAATTAAGTAAACCTTTCAATTTTTCTGTTGCAATTTTAATTTTGTTTTATTTCTTAGATGTTACCAAAAATGAAATCGATTTTTCTGCGAGTGTGGGTGAAAAGGAATTAATTCAAAAAGAAGGTCATGAGTTAGAATTAATGGAATACGTTCAAGACAAACCTAAGTATAAAAAGGGAATTGAAAAAAAGCACCTAGGTAAGCTTAAAGATTAACCACACTTTTTTACATTACTATTATGAATAATTTTTCAATATATTTTGTAGACAATAAAAATAATATAAATTATAACGGAAAAGAATCCAAGGAATTTTTTCTGAAAGAGGAAAATGCACTAATAGTAAGGAAAGATGAAATAGACATAAGTGATAAACGTTATTTGGATAAATTTGCAGAAATTACTGAAAGTAGGCACTTATGTATGGAAGGTATTAGAAGATTAAATTAAATTTTGAAATTTTTTTATTGTATTAATTTTTTTTTATTTCTTAGATGACGTGAACAAAAATGAAACCGACTCTTCTGTAGGTTTGGGCGAATCAAAGGAATTAATTAAAAAAAAGTTAGAATTAATGGTATCTCTACAAGATAATCCTAAGCATTTACTGGGATTTTTGAAAGGTACAGGTCAAGCTTTGATGGATGATGGCACTTCCCGTCACATAGGCCCCATTTATTTTAAACATAACAACGATAAATAAAATGTAGCATAACTAAAACTACGTGATTCATACCAAATACAGTATTTGTCTTTTTTTAATTATATTCAGTAAATACTTTTCTGCAAAGTCTTTCCTGGAAATTAATTATATACACATGAAAGGGTACAATATTTTTAATATTTAGTTTTTTAATTTTATGTCTAGATGTCGTTTATATTCTTTGTGTTTTGAAATAAATTTTTGTTATGAAAGTAATATCAATTTCTTATAGTGATAATTTCTTAAAAATAATTTTTAAATATTGGAAGTTGTTATATTAAAATTTTTTTTCTTATCCTAATTTAAAATATTTTTAAACGTATTTAAATTCATTAAGCAGAACATCAGGAAAATCATTAAATATTGTCAGCAAACTAAAATAGGATGATAACGATGTTAGCGATATCTGCATCGATTTTTTTTTAGTAGGGTTCTAAAAGTCCAATAAAACTGCATCACAGTGTATTTCAAATCTTTATATTTTTTTAGATACATTCCGAATCCACTTCATTACAACACAGCAGTGTTAGTTTAAATATGTATTTTCTGTTTGTATATATTATGAATATATTCAATTAATGCTGCATTATCTGTGTTAGAGATGTAGTTTTTAATGTTATTTAAAATATAAAAGAACACCTATATCTATTTTACCTGAAAACATGCAAAGAAACAGTCTATGAAATATTAAATCCTGCTGCAATCATACACCCACATAAATGAAAAGAATCTACTCGTAATCCTTCCCAATATAGATAACTTGCTCACGATCACAATTCTATATCCTCATAAAACCTATTATTAAAAAGAGCATATGTTCATACTGATTTGTATTATATTGTGTCCGTGTCTCCTGTTAGGGGTCACTACGATTTCTTTGTTAGTTGAAGGAAACCATCATCATAGCTAAATAAGTCGATTTGTCATGAAATAGACGATGTTTCATTTACCAAACATAATTTATACACCCGAAATAACAAAACCATATTTGAAAATTTTGCTAACTCGAGGGTTAATTAATATTTTATTAGTCTTTTAATAACTTTTAATTCATGAACTAGTAATTACTAGTATTTGACATTTCAGACCGTAATTTTGCAATTAAATATCTTGTTTATCTGTCAATTTAGTTGGTTAATCTGGCAACATTAAAGGAATCGCTTATAAAAATATGAAAGCAGTGATGGCCAAAGAAGTTGGAAGGGATACAGGAAAGAAACTGCATTTTGTCTGTCTGTTTTCCGCGCTGAGTGACTTAAGTGGGGGAATTATTGTTTTATCCATCAGATGATTAAGGGGGGTCAATTTTGACTGCAATGTATGTTTTCTCAATAAGTTCAGAAATATTTTCAATTTTTAAATTATTTTTTTATCCGACTATATTATCATGCTTTGTATCCTCAAATTTTCTAATAAAAAAATTCCCAATATTTTACGAATAAATAATATTTTCTGGATTTGGGATCAAAAACGCCCCGCTTGGTCTTCCATTTGTTTCATTTCTATTGGATAAAGTGGTCAAAGAATATTCATGCAGTCGCAATACAAAGCGGTGGCCTCTAGTTGCATTTATCAATTTCATTGACATAGGTGGAATAAATGTATTTGGGCTATATGTTGATAAATATGACGAAAAAGGAAAATCTTTTTGAAAGAGGCTGTTTCTTCAAGATTTGGGTATTGAGCTAGTTACACCCTTTATACAATCCCGACCGCGTCAAGGCTTACGTGGACACGTTCAAACAGCCATAGATATGACACTATCGAAATGTTCAGAAGATTCTGAAGATGTAGAGCCAGCTGAAAATTCCAAGAAACGTGGCCAATGTAAAATTTGCAGTCGATCTTCCGACAGAAAATTCGCATCGAAATGCGATAAATGCAAGCGTTTTATCTGCAAGGAACATTCAGAGATTTAAAAAACCATAGTTTGTAATACATGTGGCGACTTAAACTGTATTTTTTTCAAATTTCTTAAATTAATTCAGCAAGTTCAGACTGACATTTTTACTTTTTTTCTGGTTAATTGGAATTAGAAATTTGATTTAGTAATGTTTCTTACTTCATTTAATAAAACAATATAACAATAAAGTTGTGAAAACATGTTTTTATTTCCTAAAACTAATGGGGTCATTTTTGACCACCCTTGGTCATCCATGTATAAAAAAAAGGTTGTTCATCCGAAGGTTAAAACAGACTAAACTTATATGCAGTATAACTTAACTGTACAACCTGAACTGTTTAACTAGAATGTAAGGCAGTGGGCAGTAGTATAGACCAGCGGTCTTCAAACTTTTACGACTTACGGAACCCCGCCAACATTTCGATTCTTTTGAGGAACTCGCACCTAAAAAAATTTTCAAACATTTTTTACTGATTATCTAATATATTTATAAATACTACGATTAACAAAATAAATATTCCACTAAGTAAAAATTAAAGTAAGACTAAAGTAAATATTTATTGAGTAATTAAAAAAAGAGTAAATATACCTATTCAAAGACTGGCATGTGCTTGAATATTTTTACATAATATGTTAAAATCAGATGCTATTGTTGTAAGTTGCAATCGCATTTCAAATTCTGTATTAAGCGCATTGCAATACTTTGTTTTTGTCGCTACGTACGTGGAAAATGATTTTTCGCACAGGCCAAAAATCAAGAGAAAGGCAACGTAACCAACGCGAAGAACGCTGCGCCAGCTTATGTTATGTGCCGACTTACTTGCACTTGCATGTGCGGAACCCCAGTTTGAATACCACTGGTATAGACCTTACTATCTTCTTACTGTGAGTGATACTGATGCACTTAAGTTGACTAAAATATTCTAAATATTTAGTACATCCGACAGTGGATTTGAAATTTTCGTTTAATGATGTCACGTCTATTTTACTTTTTACGAGTTATGTGAGGTGTAAACGGAAACACAAAATATACAGGTCCCTTATTTCTTTAACCACTGAAATAGTAAAGTTATAAAACTATTAAGAACTGATTAACTGCAAAATTTATTTATCAAAAATAACACCACTGAATATAAACTAGTACAAAAATAAATATTTAAAAATAATAAAAACAAAATGTATACTGTTATATGTATTAACCATGTTCCTCTTCTTCTGGCTCCGAATACCCTTCTGAACTGCTAGTTTCAGAATTTTTCTCTTCGTTTGCTTGGTTTTCGTCGAGTTCTCTTAATTTTTCAAAAATACGTCGATGCCTTGCTTTTAGTTGTTCTTCCTAAATTCAATAAAATATTCACGTAAATTGTAATACCCTTACTATTTTAAATTACTTACTCTGATCCTTTCATCTTGTTTCTTAAGTATATCTATGGATTCCGACAGTGGGATAAGCTTTGTTGGTTTATTGCAATGAGCACAGTCTTCCATTATTTTAAAAACTTTACTGTCTGGCTGAACTTCTTTGGCTTTATTTAAAGTGGAAAATGGTTTATACCTCTCTTTTACTGGGATTTTCTCAATTTCACAGAGCTTCTGTATATGTCTTTCATTCTCGCTTAAAGACAACTTATTTATAGTCGCTTCAATATCGTCTAGGTTTTTACGAAATATTATTTCCTTTTCAACTTTGTCTCTAAAACTTTTTATTGACTCTCCTTTATCTGGTAATCTTCCTATTAATGCACTGCAAACAAAAATAAAATTTTAATAAAGGAGTAACTTCTAATTACTTCTTAATATAGGTACATACTTATTTTTTAATAAAGCGTTTTCCCGCTGTAGTATTTCCCTTAACTGTATCAAATTAATTTTACTTAGATCTTCCCTTTTCTTTAAATCTGACATTTTTTTTAGCAAATATTATAGGATAGCGATACAACTTTTCGAAAATTAAAATTGACATACTTCATAGTTCTATATCTGCAATTTCTACACACATGCCAAAGATGTTGGGTAGGAAGATCAAAGACTGCAATTTATCTATGGGACTTATGAAAGGGCTATCATTTTTATATAAAAATAAATTGTATACTTTGCTAACAACTTGCTGATATACAATAAAACAAGATTTATAATACTAACTGTTTATGTAGTCCTTATGGACCCATGAGCCATATAAACAAAGGTGCTAATAATTTTAATAGTTTCTAGGTGTTCGATCTAATTGTAAGTAATGTTTGATCCTTCCTAACAAATTTTTATTTCTTTGTTATAGGATCAATGAGGTCTATATAATATCCAAGAGTCGTAAAATACGTTGCATATATGAGAACTGTTAAATCCAAACTATTTAAATTTATTTTTTTGCATATTCTTAAATTACTATGAACACAAACAAAATATAGTCCATTTGTTTTTGTTTTAGCTTTTATACAACGTTTTGGATAAAACGTAGTATGGATCAATAAGACTATAAAGCTGTCACTCAAGTCCATTGTTATTTTTCGACCTATTGACATATGTCAATGGGTTTGCATGGATTAAGATTTTAGTAATGTTACAATTTTGTTGAAATTTTATATCGTAATAGCATCAGAGCAATATGTTTACCTGGAAGTGTTTTGAACAGTTTAGGTGCAGCAAAAACTTAGTTGTAATATCATGATAACTAATAAAAATACATCTCATATCAAATGTGTATCGTAGAAATAGTTAATTTGTTTAAATATAATGGCAGAACAAAATTTAGTGCCTACTCAAACACAAAATCAGTTTCAAAACCCGATGTTTCGAGAAATACATAAAAACACTTGGCTGAAACGTATATCATCTACTAATTCAAAAAAGGTAAGATTACATTACACTGTAGAGCTTTTTTTAATATGTGTATGTAATTGATGAATTATATTCATAAAAAAATATATTTTAGAAGAAGGAGAGATTCTGGGTAGTTTTTTGCGTTCATGATGATACTGATGCATTTCTTGAAACATATGTAGACAATAAACTAGCTGTATTCCATAAACCTGAGTGGTTTGTCTCACTGAATAATGTGCAGCATATCTCACCAACAATTTGTGCTCATGAGCAAGAATATGAATTTGTTTTAACCCTCAGTTCTGAAGTGATAAGACTTGCAGCTCCGACATGGGAACAAATGTTAGACTGGGTTGAAAGTCTTAGAGGAAAGCTTTATGAACTAAGAATTTTAAGTCCAAAAGAAAACTTGTACACGAAGTTACCTGATCGAGGTTTGCCTTTATTGCCAACAAGAGATCCCACATCACCTTTACCACCTCCACCTGAAGTGCCTCCCGAAAATCTACCTGGTATCGAACCATTACGTCCAAGTGAAACCCCTCATTCTGGTAGTATGAATAGTTTATATGGAAGAAGAAGATCTGAATCTCAAAGTAGTGGATTGATAAGAAGAAACAGTAATGCGAGTGAGCCTAGAAGTGCAAGGATATCGAATGATGTGTTTAACTTTGAAAATTTGAATATATTAGACAATAGTGCCCCAACTTCAGCTTCAGAAGGAACTCCAGCCACCCATTATGAATTGCTCTTTCAAATGCAACAAACGCCAGGTTGGTATTATATTAAATAATGGACAACCCTTTTTCCCTTAGCCATTAAGTAACTTTATATCTATCTATAATTTTAATGGCATTTTTAAATTAAATATATCAAAAATGAAAGATGTTTGAACAACATAATGTTCAAGCAATACTAGAAATTTATCCTGACAATCCTGTTATTTTGCAATAAATTGAATTGGCGATTTGAGAACAACTGACTCATTAATACTGACAAGCAGTTATTTGTGTCAAGATACCTATCTGCAGTTACAGATGAAACATGAATCACCCAATTAAGCTTAGAATTCAGACTACCGAAGTGCCAAGTAACTATCGTTAAGCTTTATTATTACAGCATTTTCTATACAAATGATTCATATTTGTTAATAAAAATTGAAGTTTAGAGGCCTCCAAGGTAGCCTAAATAGTTTTAATTTAAAACAACTAATTTATACTTCTTGATTAACACGTAAATTATTTTTAATGTCGTTATAGGTCCGTCCAATAGAAATGTAGATAGGCAGCTAGAGAGGATAGAAAACAACAGGTTACTAGAAAGGTCAGCTAGTTGTTCTCCAAGAATATTACAGCCTCCGCCACAACCATACAAGACACTGAGGGAGCAGCAAGTATTACAGCTACAGAAAGAGATGAAGCATCCAAGTGGAGTACGAATCCAACTGCGGAAAAAGGACTGCATAAGTTCAATTGGTTTTGTGGACTCTTTTGATGCTGTTTGGTAATAACTTAACAAAAATATTTGATATATTATATATTTAAAAAATTTTGTACAGGATATGTGGCTGGAAACAAAAGGAACACCCTATGCTTTATAATGCTCTACATATAGGAGACCGTTTGATAAGCATAGAAGGCATTAGTATTAAATCGGCAGCAGAAGCTCATAAAATTTTACACTCTCACTACTGCGGTCTTTTTGTAAGTAATTCAGATAGTATCGGGTGTCCCAAAATTCATGCAAAATTTGAATTTTATGCTATTTGTGTGGTAAAGTGTTGCCAACGGAAATAGAAAGCGTGACAACTAACAGTTCAGGGTTATTAAAAATGGAGCGCTATGCGAAAGAGCAACGCGTTTTCATTATTGAACAGTATTTAAAAAATAATGAAAGAATTACTTCTTGCGTAAATTTTGGGACACTCTTTATATACTCTGAATAAAAGTAAAAAATCTTAAAAACATCTCATCTGTAGGTTAACATTGTTATAAAAAGAGTACCTCATGGTCAAGTCTTGGTGATACATCGTGAATCAGAGGGCCAGTCTCTGGGAATTGTACAAGAAAATAACACTGCTGTAATAGAAACTGTACAAGCAGATAGTCTTGCAGCTAGGCATGGTCTGACAGCTAAAACGAAGACTTGCGATGGAGTATCCTTTACGAATTGGGTACTTACAGAAATAAATGGACGTCCTTTAAATTTATTTTTTAAGAAAAATCAAGTTCGTGATAGACTTAATTCAGTAGGAAGAGACATATCTATTTTAGTACAACCTTTAGATCTGATAAAACAATTAAAAAAACAGATGAAATCTCTAAAAAACTATAAAGATTATATTTTACAATGATATGTCTAGTACCAGTTGCGAAATATTTTTAATATAGATAGATTTAACGTGCAATACCTTGTGAGCAGTTATTTTTCTCGTACTTTCTTATTAGAGAATAAGGTCTGAATTATATACTGTGATTATTTTATACAAGTCTATGTAGAAAAAAAGCATTTACTTCTCCACATATTTTATATGAACTTACAATTTTAAAGTCACATTTTATTAAATAAGTAGGAAATTTTAGCGTTATGACGAATTAGTGAACTTAGTATACATATCGTATATTTTATTAATATTTTAAATTGTAGTAGCAGTCAAATGTACATTAACATTTTGACTAAATTATTTATTTCTTCCATTCTGTGTAGCTTTGTATTTGTGATTTTAGTTTGTACTTCAAATTTTTTTTTTAATAAATTTATTACCGCATATATCTCAAAATTTACTTTAATACCCTTACATTTTTTCATTTAGTTAAATGACTCAGTGATTGATGACTGAACTGTTAGTTGTTAATGTTTAAATTAATATTTACAAACAAGAAAAATTATTCATGTTTTCGATTTTTCCATTTATTGATAATTGACGAAATTTAAATCTATCGGTAATTTATTTAGCTATAAATTTTAGCAATGGTTCCATAAAATATAAGATCGATGGTGGTTCTACTGACTTCATTACTCTTGTCAAGTGAATGCGTTTGTTTAAAGCTTACATTTTAATATGTAATGCTAAATGATGTAGCAGCACACAGAACAGACAATTGCTTGCCAATTTATATACAGGGTCGGAAAGTCCCCATGGTTCATCGGCCGTTACGTGAGAGCGATAAAGAAAGTCATAGAAATCCGTGCGATAGATAAAGATCGCTATAATGAAGGCGTCTAATAGTCACCACCCATTTCGCCCTTCCACAAATAAGATCCACTTCTTATATAAGAAAAAAAGCAGTGAATAGCTATTATTTGGTAATGGTTGGACTACACAGAGCACAAACTGCATAGTAAATATTCGGTACTCCCACTATGTCTTTCACTGCTGCGCAATGGTAACCATGGCCACCACTGTAAACACTTTACGGATGTAGAGGCGAGCTAGAGGAGCCCACGTATTCAGAGTTTTGCACACGAAATTTGCAAGTCGAGTTTAACTGACTACATTATACAAATTTAACATTTCCTTTTTAATTTAAATAACAAATCTAATCTAGTTAATTATGTAGAAAACATTAAACTAAATTTTTTTACTATGATAATTTCAAGGGGGCAGCACCCCAGAGCTCCCAGCACCAGCCGCCACTGCTTCTAGTTAATTTTTGTAAACCGCTTTACTGTCGTCTTGAATTCAAAACATTCAGTCAAATTACTCGTACGCAGGACGCATTGTGCGCATATTTCATGTAGGCATTAACATCATAACATCCCCAGAATAGAAAACTATTCTGTGTCTGAAGTCTTAAAAATAAAATGAGAGAGCGAGTTCTTTTCTCTCTACATGCTTCTCCATATAATACATACATGTTCTAAATTGCAACAAAGGGACATACCTACCTAGACCAGCTAGACCTAAAGCAACCGGATGTTGATACCGCGCCATTATTCCATGGCTAGAAATTGGCCTCAATGATTTGGGATCGAAGGGGATTATCCCTCTTTATCCTGCCTCATCTCGTGTAGGTCTGGACAGCCTTCGTAGGTGGGCCCCATCCGTCGTCTACCCCGACCGCAAATGCGGCCGGTGTAGGTGCTTTGTGGGACCTCCCTTTGTCCTGGCTGGGCCCCGCCCGCTAGGGCCCTTTCTTCTGGCGCTCTTCTTGCAAGTGATATACTAATATGCATCATGTCAATTTCCCACTCAGCTCACCCAATACCACTATACTATTTTGTTTGCGAACCCTTGAATAGTTCATGTGTGCAGTTAAGTTAGTAGGTACAGGTTTAGTTTGTTAAATTAATAATTTTCCCATTTGAGCTACACAGTCGTGGAAAACGGTAGTATTTGCGCGGATAAATAGCAGTCTTTATTCTCTCTATTTATTCCAACAGCTTTGCAGAAATCTTATTTAATTCGTCTGTATATCATTTTGTTGTGGTAAAAATGATAATCACGTATTTTATGTGTAAACCCAGCATTAATGTGTGGTTTTCCATGATTAAATTGTTGAGTAATGAGTGACAAACCAATTTCTTTAAACTGTGGTCTGTGGTGTGGTGAAGTAGCATAAACGAATAGTACAGGGACAGGGGGTTACACGAATCTGGAAAGCAAGTGTGGGAAGTGGAAATGGATCATGGATTTAGATGAATGTTGACATTCGTGTTGATCCAGTAGCGTTCGACCTATATTTCTAGAGTTGACATTGACAGTTTAACAAATTGCAAGCTATGGCCTTCAGGTTTAATTGCAGAAATAGTGGCGACTAAAACTCAACGACTAAATGAAGATGTAAGCAACTATTGAACCATGAGAGAATAAGTATTATTTTTTGTAACTTGTTACCCAAATGTGATGTATTATAATTATTTATTAACGAGTTCATTAGAACTTGGAAATGTGTAGTGATATACATAATTCTGTGCTCCTAAGCACTTTCTACAGTGGTAAAAAGAAACTGAGAATAATTTTTCACAAAGGAAATATTGTCTGGGACAATGAGAAGCCTCCATCTGGTGAGTACTGTATTTAAATATTTATTTAGTGATATTTATTTATTATTATTTTTTTTAAGAACAATACACTTTACCAATTGAAAACATTATAGCCGTTCAACACAATTATTTAAGGAATACCCATCCATCAGAAAACAAACAAATAGATCCCAATTCGTTTACCATTCACTATTCAGAAAGAGGAAAATATGCTAAATGGGTTTATAAAAATGTGTCGCTAAAACATTCAGACCCTTTACAAGTATCAACATGGATTAAAACATTACAAAATTATTTACAACGTGAGTATCTACCTTCCCATTCGTAATTATTATGTTGTTGGCATTGAAATTCTTATATATCAGGTTTTTACATACATGTTATTTTTTACTATTTTTACATTTACCTTCAAATCGATTAAATTAAGTATTAATTTTTTTAGTTTAGTTAACATATATACGCATTGTAAGTTTTTATTATTTCTTCATAATACTTATTCTCTATATTACTTGCTTCCTCTTTTAATTCACTGTAACATTATTAAAAAAAATGGATTCTGGCTTGTACATAATCGTATTACAATTACTTTCATTGTGGCTACCTATAACAGAATATTTCAAGCAAGCTTTGCAGAATACAGCTTTTTATGTCCAGCAACGTAATTTTTTCTATTGTACATTGTAGACATATTTTTCTCAACTTATCTAAAAGATCAGTATATGATAAAAGGATTTGATAAAATATTATTGTATTACCATTGTTTTTATTGTTTTAAGAGCTTGGAATATTTTGATATAGCTAAATTCAATATAGAAGTTAGAAAACCCAAAGAAAACGTTTTTCATTTCATTAACATATTTTAGGTTTAAAAAAAAGGCCAAAGCATTTATTATTATTTGTAAATCCATTTGGTGGAAAGAGAAATGCTTTGCAGATATATGAAAAATATGGAAAACATTTATTCATTGTCGCTGGTATAGAAGTTACAGTAAATATTTCCCAGAGGAAGGATCAGATTAAGGATTATATTGTTAATCACAACTTAGATATGTTTGATTCTGTAGCTTGTGTTGGTGGCGATGGTACTCTTTCTGAGTTATTTAATGGACTAGTTTTACGTGAATGTCGATTAAGAGGTATAGATGCTGATGATATAAACCAAAACTTGCCAAAGCCCAAAATACCAGTTGGTGTAATACCAGGTAACGTCATACTTTTTATAATTGTAAATATTTCAATGTGTTCAATTTTACTTAATCACTATTAGGGGAACAAATATAGTAAATATAACAAATATAATAACCTTTATATACCAGAGTACCTGATTAAATATTAAACAACTTTTATTACGTGTACAAGGTCAGTAAATGTATGTTTTTAATTTTATTTAAGGTTGAATAAACTTCCGAGGTTATAACAATTTGTTCAGTAATACAAATTATTTATACCATGAAGTTAAAAAAATGTATAAAAATTAGGTATTATTAGGTTGAAGTTGTAACAGTAGCTAATATTCGTAATAATTCAGATCTAACAAGGAGAAGGTAAGGTAGTCGGATTTTTGTAATTTTTGATATTTATGGTACGTGTAGTTTGGACCTTGAATAAGAATTTTTCGAAGTAGTTCGACGCAACGTTAATAAATTACCGAGATAATCGATTTTGAAGTTTTACCTGACAGCTAAANTGTTTGACAAAATGTAATTATACTTCATATAGCTGTAATTTTTCTAACATGTCAACATCTTTTTTGAAAACTTTTAAATTGAATTTAAAATGTCCCGCGGATATCAACGCATGCGCATAAAAACGTCCCCAGCAATAATTAGTGTAGTTTCAGGGACAGGGGGTTACACGAATCTGGAAAGCAAGTGTGGGAAGTGGAAATGGATCATGGATTTAGATGAATGTTGACATTCGTGTTGATCCAGTAGCGTTCGACCTATATTTCTAGAGTTGACATTGACAGTTTAACAAATATGGCCTTCAGGTTTAATTGCAGAAATAGTGGCGACTAAAACTCAACGACTAAATGAAGATGTAAGCAACTATTGAACCATGAGAGAATAAGTATTATTTTTTGTAACTTGTTACCCAAATGTGATGTATTATAATTATTTATTAACGAGTTCATTAGAACTTGGAAATGTGTAGTGATATACATAATTCTGTGCTCCTAAGCACTTTCTACAGTGGTAAAAAGAAACTGAGAATAATTTTTCACAAAGGAAATATTGTCTGGGACAATGAGAAGCCTCCATCTGGTGAGTACTGTATTTAAATATTTATTTAGTGATATTTATTTATTATTATTTTTTTTAAGAACAATACACTTTACCAATTGAAAACATTATAGCCGTTCAACACAATTATTTAAGGAATACCCATCCATCAGAAAACAAACAAATAGATCCCAATTCGTTTACCATTCACTATTCAGAAAGAGGAAAATATGCTAAATGGGTTTATAAAAATGTGTCGCTAAAACATTCAGACCCTTTACAAGTATCAACATGGATTAAAACATTACAAAATTATTTACAACGTGAGTATCTACCTTCCCATTCGTAATTATTATGTTGTTGGCATTGAAATTCTTATATATCAGGTTTTTACATACATGTTATTTTTTACTATTTTTACATTTACCTTCAAATCGATTAAATTAAGTATTAATTTTTTTAGTTTAGTTAACATATATACGCATTGTAAGTTTTTATTATTTCTTCATAATACTTATTCTCTATATTACTTGCTTCCTCTTTTAATTCACTGTAACATTATTAAAAAAAATGGATTCTGGCTTGTACATAATCGTATTACAATTACTTTCATTGTGGCTACCTATAACAGAATATTTCAAGCAAGCTTTGCAGAATACAGCTTTTTATGTCCAGCAACGTAATTTTTTCTATTGTACATTGTAGACATATTTTTCTCAACTTATCTAAAAGATCAGTATATGATAAAAGGATTTGATAAAATATTATTGTATTACCATTGTTTTTATTGTTTTAAGAGCTTGGAATATTTTGATATAGCTAAATTCAATATAGAAGTTAGAAAACCCAAAGAAAACGTTTTTCATTTCATTAACATATTTTAGGTTTAAAAAAAAGGCCAAAGCATTTATTATTATTTGTAAATCCATTTGGTGGAAAGAGAAATGCTTTGCAGATATATGAAAAATATGGAAAACATTTATTCATTGTCGCTGGTATAGAAGTTACAGTAAATATTTCCCAGAGGAAGGATCAGATTAAGGATTATATTGTTAATCACAACTTAGATATGTTTGATTCTGTAGCTTGTGTTGGTGGCGATGGTACTCTTTCTGAGTTATTTAATGGACTAGTTTTACGTGAATGTCGATTAAGAGGTATAGATGCTGATGATATAAACCAAAACTTGCCAAAGCCCAAAATACCAGTTGGTGTAATACCAGGTAACGTCATACTTTTTATAATTGTAAATATTTCAATGTGTTCAATTTTACTTAATCACTATTATGGGAACAAATATAGTAAATATAACAAATATAATAACCTTTATATACCAGAGTACCTGATTAAATATTAAACAACTTTTATTACGTGTACAAGGTCAGTAAATGTATGTTTTTAATTTTATTTAAGGTTGAATAAACTTCCGAGGTTATAACAATTTGTTCAGTAATACAAATTATTTATACCATGAAGTTAAAAAAATGTATAAAAATTAGGTATTATTAGGTTGAAGTTGTAACAGTACCTAATATTCGTAATAATTCAGATCTAACAAGGAGAAGGTAAGGTAGTCGGATTTTTGTAATTTTTGATATTTATGGTACGTGTAGTTTGGACCTTGAATAAGAATCTTCCGAAGTAATTCGACGCAACGTTAATAAATTACCGAGATAATCGATTTTGAAGTTTTACCTGAGAGCTAAATCCACTAGATGTGACACATTCTTCAACTGGGAGTGTGGCCTACCAATGTAGCGTTCAGGACTGACGGTCACGAGATTGCTGGTTCGAGTCCATCGTGTGACTTTTATTTTTTTCATCTCGAAAATTATGAACAAACGAAATATTATAATAAATACTTATGTATATGTAGGAATATTCTTCAAATATTTCATTAAAATGCAAAATTGGTTGATAAACAATATTTATTATGAATTAACAATAAAGTTTCTTTAAAAAAAATAAACGAGGTCAGGTAGGTTTTTTATTTTATTTTTAGTATTTGAAATTTTATGCAGTGTGGCATAAGCCAGAATGATAATTATCATAGAAACATGGGAAGCAGACATTTTTTAAGCATCTAGCATGTGGTGTAAATATTTTTACAGGCGCATTTTGTTTTCAAAATATCGACGTCGAAGCAAATTTCGTTAACATTTTGAAAGATTGTTCTTTCATCACACAGTTTCGATGCTTCTCTACCCTTTGTGGAATTTACCAAAACTTTTTATGCCCGAGCAGGTGTGTTCTGTAAGCGGTCTTTTTGAACACGGACGACCCACGCAACCTAGCTCAAAATGTTAATTAAACACTTGAAGAATATTCCTTCATACAGTTCTCATAATATTTCGTTTGTTCATAATTTTCGAGATGAAAAAAAATAAAAAACCATATGTGCGTTTTAAACAAAAATATATATGTTACGCGACAGAATCGAACCAGCGATCTCGTGACTGTCAGTCCTGAACGCTATCAATTAGGACACGCTCCCAGTTGAAGAATGTGTCACATCTAGTGGATTTAGCTGTCAGGTAAAACTTCAAAATCGATTATCTCGGTAATTTATGAACGTTGCATCAAACTACTTCGAGAAATTCTTATTCAAGGTCCAAACTACACGTACCATAAATATCAAAAATTACAAAAATTCGACTATCTTACCTTCTTCTTGTAAGATAAAGAGACTGCTAGTTTACTTAATTTGAAGTTATTTTAACTAAAGATGCTTTTAGGTGGTAGTACTGATACTATAGCTTACTGTATCCATGGTACTACTGATCCAACAACAGCAGTGTTACATATAATATTTGGAGATTCTCTGGGTTTAGATTTAGTCTCTGTTTATGATGAGCATAGCCTACTGCGATTATATGCTAGTGTATTAAGTTATGGCTACCTAGGAGATGTAGCTTACAACAGTGATCAGTATCGTTGGATGGGACCTCGACGATACGATTATTCAGGTACTTAATCTTTTGATTAAATATTGCTGAGCGTAAATGATTCCGTAATTATTTGTTCTAGGTTTCAAAAAGTTGGTGCGAAATAAAGGTTACCAGGGAGAAATTGCCGTCTACTCAGAATCAGAAAGTGTTGAGGAGACTACCTGCAGAGAAAATTGTGAAAGATGTGAACTAAATAAGAAAACAGAATGTGATAAATTAGGTTGTAAGTGGCAGACACTGTCAGGGAAATTTTTTATGGTGAGTGGTGCCAATATTAGTTGCGCCTGCAGTCGCAGTCCCAAAGGTATAGCACCCTACAGCCATCTGGGTGACGGCATGGTTCATTTGGTTCTAGTAAAACATACTACTGTATTAAATAATTTAAGGTTATTATTAAGACTTTCAAGTGCAGATTCAACCGTTGAGGACTTGCCGTTTGTGGAAACAGTCAGCGCTCGGGAGTTCTGCTTCCGGGCTGTAGGGGGGCATAGCAGGTGGAACTGTGATGGAGAAGTTCAGCATCAGACAAACATTCGTGCGAAGTAAGAAACTTTATATTTTATAGTTTACATTAGAAAATTATAATGGGATATTTAAATAATTTTAACCTTTCGTTCCAGGGTGCGTTGTCAATTGCTCACAATTTTTAGTCGTGGTAGTCCAAGGTATGCTCCTCCCAAATCAACCTGCTGTGGATTCTGAGCCTTATTGCCCATATTTTTAGTATTTAACTCAGTATTTATTTCAACTTTATTATGAGAAATCTAAGTATTATTACTTGCTCATACTTTAGTATGGAAACTGTGAGGGAAAAATCTTGGACATGGTTTACTGTTAAGTCATTCCTGTTTTCTTGGATGTTGTTAATTTATACTGTTAACTATTTTTTATTAATTACTGTATAAAGGCCGTCTATACTTAATATTTGCTCTATATGTTATAGACTGATGCTCATTCCAAGTATGGCTAATAAAAATTTTATTTTAATGATAGTTTCATTTTTTATTTCAATCCATACCAAAAGGGAAGGGAACAAGGAACCAAGACATCTGATAAAATAAGTTTATTTTCAACAATAAAAAAAATAAATATAAATAAACACAATTATCAAACTATAATCAGTCTTCCGAAATTTGAAAATATTTTCATCAGTCTCTTCAGGTACATAACATCCCAGATCAACATTCAGTCAACAGTTTTAGGGTAGGTGAGTCTCCATAAATAACATTCATGAAAGGAAGAGTCAAATGGTATTTATTCTAGATTCTGAAAGTAAGAGAAACAAGTTTTTCAAAATATAGAGAGAAGGAAACACATATCAAGGCTGTATTTCTAGATGCCAATAAAAATACTAATCTTTCATGCTTTTAAAATTAAGATAATTTTACCTTTCTTATACAACCGAGAAACGTAATAATAACTTAATGAGAAATCGTGAAAAAGAAGTAATTTATTTCCAAAACATTTAAAGATTAGGCCAAACATTAATCAATTTTAAATGTAATTAAACAACCTATTTTAAAGTAAAAAGCAATTTAGTTAATTAGAAATTGATTAGGCATTTAAATATAGAAATAAAACATGATGGCAAATCATCTACTGTAAAGACTATAGGTAATTAAGATACAAAATTATGTCATTTTCTTCATGAATCAGTCAATAATTGAAATGCTATTTATGATTTCATGTTTTATATTATTATTTGTTTTTTTTCTTGTATACATCTTAGTATTAATGAATCTTTTTTTAATGAATTTAATGTAATAGATGTTAAACATATTTCTTTTTTGTGACCTGCCAAAAATTTGTAATGCAAATGTAACTTACTTAAATATGCAGGGTCGGAAAGTCCCCATGATGAACCATGGGGACTTTCCGACCCTGTATACTATACTATTTCAATATCTTAAAATAAATTATGAAATGATTTGATTAGAATTACACTGAACTGGTTGCAAATTTTCAACAATTATACTTTAAAATTTAATATACAAATTTATTAATGACTATTGGAATTACCACTCTAAAACAACTGAACAAATGAAGGAAATTAATTATCATATTGGAGAAAATCCAACTTCAGAAAACAAATACATTATATCAATAGAGTAATATTTTAATAAATTCAATACTCACTCATATTTTTTCAAGACCAGCGAATCTTTTCGTTTATTTTCAAGTAAGTTACCTGTGAAAACAAAAAATAAATTAACTGAAGAATTAACAATGGTGAATTGATAGACAAATAAAATAATACAATTAAATAATTTGTTCACAAATTAATTTTCATAAGTTTTCATTCCCATTCTACACTTTTAAAGTAGAATAAATATGGTAATTATTAAAATTTCATTTTAAACGGTTTACCAAGTACAAATAGAATAATTACTGAAGTAATAAGGAGGGTAAAATACGCAAGCATTTCATAAAACAAATGAAATCTAACAAATATTACAATAACTTTAATATTATATATATTTTTACTGTAAATTAGAATTTAAATACCCTCTTGAGCATAAAGATTCAACATTTTGGTTTTTAGGATAAATAGTTCATGGGATACATTTTTTTACTCATGATTCTAAGTAGTAAAAATTTTTTGTATATAAGAATTCCCCGTATTTTCTTGAACTGTAATTAAATACATATTTGTTAAAAAATTCATTACACAGAAATATTTTTCTATGTAATTCCTTAATTTTATTTGTTCCATAATATTACATGCATGAAACAGAATTTACTTATCAATTATTATTATCAAGTAGTATTGATACAAATAACTATAACAATAAAATAATCCAAGATATAATAAAATCCAATATAATTACTAGTTGTCATTTATGTATTAAGTATAACAATCGTTTGCTCTGTTATTATCGTTTTTTTACAATCTCGCATAAATGGAGAATATATAATTTGTAAATTTATTCTATTAATAAGGTTTGATATAAAATGAAATATGTTGGTACATAATCCACTTAAAATTTGTTATTTATAGGATGTAATAAAATTTTATGTAGTAGTGTAGTTGTAGACAGTTTATATTGCACATAGGGCAAGTTAAACATAAATAAATTTTAGTCTGTTTCAATGTCTAACAATAAGTACTTACATTTTTTAGGGACCAATATATGTCTGAGATACACTGATAGTCTCATTTACTTATTTTTCATGATTTTAATAGAGTAATTTTGTCACCTATATTTCTATATGCTGAATTGTCTAGTTTAGGTGATTAATAAAATATACATATATACACTGATGAAAAAAGAAATAATACCAAATTACTCCTTGTAATAAGTCTTCCTATTTAGTAGTCTTCTTCGGCCAACTATTTCTTCTTAGATCAAAATTCTTCTGACGAAGCATTAGTTTAAATGAAGGTAAAACAATCTTGCCAAAATGCTGCTTTAAAAAATTTACCGGATGTTGGTAAAAAATGTAGGGGAATGAATGCAGGAATCCCCGACAGAGCTAAACCCAAGGCTAAACCATAACCGAAATTATCAAATAATTATAAAAAGGAAACTTTCTCTTTGAAGGGTAATTTGACGCAAAAGAAATAAAAATCAAACCAACAAATTTTTGGCGTAAGTAATTAGACTGACTAAAATTTAAAGTATTTTTAATGCTTTAATCCCGTGTATCTATTTTGAATAAAAAAATATGAAAAAATACACCACTTCCTGTACAATGTATTGGTTAAAAAAGCTTCAAACTAAAAGACAAAGTATGATATTAAAGACAAAGCACTACATTCAAAAATAATTATCTAAATAACAGTTATCAGATGGAAATATATGTAACTAATTCTGACTTCCAGATATATGATTTTATCAGTTGCGAAAGTGACCTATCTGTATAAATTACTAACAGACAAATTATAAGAATTATGATTCTGCAACTGTTTCCTGAAACCTGAATTATACATACCAAACGAATAAAATTAATTACTTGAGAAAAATTTCAAGGTTTCCATTCGTTTCACCTTTTTTATTTTTCTATTCATCTCCTTACCTAACTGAACACTGCAGGGACTCAAATTTTTTATTTAATAGGTTTAAATTAAAATGTTGCATTAGAACTTACACCATGCTTGAATATTTATAATAAAAAAACTGAAAGTTAGAAGACCTCAACTAAGTAATTTCAATCCTACTTTTCGAATTGGGAACGTTTATAAGAAAAAAAAAGATATAGTTTTCGTAATAATGCTTTGCCACTTTACATTGAATGTCAACATGTTTATTTTGACAGCAGACTTTTTAATAGTTTGATAATAGTTAACATGGAAACGTTTAAAAGAAAAACATTTACTTATACAGCACGATAACCTGTTTTTATTTGTAAAACCAATGTATCTAATTTTGTTCAAATAATTTTTCTGCTCTACTAATTTGCAAGGATGTATATGAATTAAACTTAAATCTGAGAAAAACTGGTTTTACTATTTTAAATTTTGCATAGCATAGTTTATGAAACCAATGCCTCCGTTATTTTATAAATATCGTTAAAATATATATAAATTATATATACAATAATTTTTTTAACTAATGAACTTTTCAGTACTTGATATTTCACAGTAACATTTTTACTATTATTACTGTTTAAACAAACAGTTCATATTTAATTCAAATATTAAACATATTAAAAAAATTTGTTTGTCCTTACCCGGAGCTCTGTAGTTTGTATTTTTTGTAATGTTATATGTATATATGAATGTTTAAGATGTGTAGGCGTTGTAGAGATATGTATTGATATGCATGTGCATTATGAATTTCTATGTGACAACTCACAATTTTCTTGTTTCAATTGTTTTCTTCTCAGTATTCTGTAATTAGGACTTGTTCCTGTTGGATGGTTTAGTTTAAATAAATAAAACATAATTTCTGGTTTTGATGCAGTTACGTCCGTCTTATCTAACAGATATAATACAAAATTATTTTAATGCTATTTGGCCGCAATAACTGGATTTATAAGAAACTTGCAGTTATGTCCTTTTAAATTAACATGGTAGATTTTTAAGCTAATTATAAAAGTGTATAGGTATATTTTCGGTCCACCTTTCACGCCAAATCATCTAGTAAATCTATCTGTAAGTGTAGTCCACAATGGTAATGTTTTAAAGTTATTGGTGCTAATTGTTATTCTTTATATATAAAATGCTGTCACCTATGAACATTTAAAACTGCTATATAAAGCATCAACTAACACATATAACTTCAAATCTACTATGCTACAAAAGTTAGGTATCAGATCTCTAACTTCCATTAACTATTAGATAACCGATAAATCTCCCATTAATTAAAGTTGTAAAACCAGTCTTATGAAAAATAGATTAGTGGTTAATTGGGGGTGGGTTTAACTTGAGATATTGCATTATTAACAGAGATAACATTATTAAAGTTATTTTTACTGATTATACAGATAGCAGCATTATTCTTATGCCATGTTGTATATACATATTTTTAGCATCTACTGATTTAGTAAAAATCAATACCACGGATAGAAAATATTAAATGAATATTTCAATATACATATTTTTAATGCAATTTTAGGGCTGTAAAGTTATTTAAGTCACGTAGAAAATTCAATTATACATGAATCTCTTCGAATTAATATAACCAAGTAAATAATATTAATTATTAATTTATGTATTAATCAAAACATATTTTTATTCATAGAATTTGATGTTTAAAATATTAAACAATTTTATAAATTATGTTACTTATTTACCTTTAGTTGTCTCATAAAACATAAAATGTAGCAATGAAATACTAATCAATACCAAATGAATCCTAGGACATCTTCAGATCTTCTCTCTTCTGGGCAGAGGTTAAATTAAAAAAAAAATCTCGAACTGGTTCTTTCCCTATTAGTGCATTATTAAAATAAATAAACAAATACAATATTAAACCCAACTAAAACATAGCATGAAACATTTGGCACTGGAAACAGAAATGAAAAATAAATATCAAATCAACAGTGACGAATAGAAACATAAATAACTTCTTTTATTAGAAATATATACCCCAAGGAAAATTAAGTTAAGAAATTATGCAAGGAAATTTTTAAGAAATAAGGATATTTTCAATTTCTGAAGCAATAAAAAATATGGCTAAAATAGGAATCGACAGAATTTGATTTACAATCTAGAACTTCTACCAGTAAAGGAAAATCTATTGAAGAAAAATCAACTCCATAGTACTAAGTAAAATATTGATGAAAGTAATAAGTCCAAGATTCACCGTTTCACAGAATACAACAGAACTTAGTGACACTGAATCTAAATTCGTTTAATACATTTCGCATCATTTACTTCAAGATACTGCTAGCGATATTTAATAATTATCTTTTCAATGAGAGGTTTTAATCATCATGGGCGCCGTTTGATAGGGGGGGAGGCTACACAAAAGGCTCGTAATATAGTTAACTAAAGGCATAATAGTAAATAAAAAGTTCATTCAGTCTATACCGCGATTTAGCCATTTGTTTCCGAAACTAAAAAAAAATCCTTGTATCCTGCGATTTCCATCAAATAAATAACTAGGATTTCTGGGACGACATAAAAGCACTGGCATATTCTTTCATCGCGAAGTCAAGAATTTTTTAAATTGCCCTCATAGAATTGATATAAGGGAGCTCAGATACTATTGCACTTAGACCAGAAGTTGATAAGATGGTACTGGGATTGTTGACGAGTTTGTAGTTCAAAAAAGGAGGGTGCAGTTGGTTTACTATATCTCCATATACTGTGATAACACACTGATATACGGTTTAAAGGGCAGGTTTCCAAAGCACCTGCATGACAAATATAGGTGAACATTATTATGCCAGCCGAAATATTTCCCCTCGTTTAAAAATGTATATATTCCACATTTTTTTTTGCTTTGTCATCTAAGATAGCGGTACGCAAACTGTGTTCCGCGGTAACCTGGGGGGAACCACAATCTCTCTGGGGGTTCCGCAACTCAAAAATTCGAAATTTTAAAATTAACTATATTGATACTTCAAAATCCAAAAAAAAAAAAATGATACTCTTATTTAAAACTAGTATTTATAAATATGTATATTATATAATCAGTAAAAAATGAGTTCAAAAATTTTTTTAGGTGTGAGGGTTCCTCAAAAAATTAAAATATTGGCCGGGTTCCGCAAGTCGTAAAAGTTTGAAGACTGCTGATCTACGACAACAGAATTTTTTATTAAAATAATTTAGTGTTTCATTAAAGCTTCCTGTCCTTGTTATTTCTTCACAGTTCAAATAAAATATCATGTTATAAAAAAAAAAGGTATGTGTTGTTTTAAGGTCAGAGAATAAATCATACATTTCAGGTTCATGCATTGTTTCAACACGACATTATAAAAAATAGACATATTTGTAGAACCATAGGTTTGTACACAATAACATAAACATATAGATAATGTAACCCAGCATTTTACAGATAATTAAAATATCAAGATTAAAATGCAACAGTTGAACTAGAAACTGCAACTGGAGGTAGAATAAAGGGCAATGGTCAGTAGGTATAGTTTTATTTTACCAAGATGTACAGTGTTTATTAATGTTCCCCGAGAAATAATTTTATTAATTAAAGATGTAGCAGTGCAAAGATCTATCCATGATTTCTTTGATAATTTTACATATGCTACTGTTATCATTTCCTTTGTAAACTGTGGATGCAGGCAGATCATTTTGTTAATTCAAAATGAATTTTTTAACGAAGGTAGTGGAAATTTATTTAGAAATATAGAATATTAAATTTAAATTTATCTCCCCCCTTTGGATTCCAGGTTAACTGCGCCCATGTTAATCATATACACAAGAATAAAAAGATATACATTTCATATATCACTTGGTTAATCAGATCTCTCTAATATATCGAAAAAAATATATATTTTTATGAATGATGAAACTACACAAAAGGTAGAACAGGAACTCGATGAAGTGAACAAATCAAAATAGTAATAACAGAACGGTTGATTTGGATATCATAGTATCAAGACTAAAAAGAAAGTTAACAAACTGTCATTTGCTAAAATGGTAAACCAGATTTAATAAAAATATATATTCGACTGAAATAAAACAATACAGGACTGTTTCCCTTAAACGACAAACAACTCGTGGAAACGGAAGTCATATCGAGAAAACTGCATATTAAAAATTGTATGGAGTACACATGCGAATAAAGAAATTTCCTTCTATTAAGGTTTACTACCACGCCGTCTATATATTTAATTTAAAATATTCAACAATATTTTATTCTAATAGTAACTGCCACATTTTTTCCTTAGAAACATCCATTATGAAGTGTAAGTTTAGTTCTAAATTAACGTACGCACTAAATAATGCACTTCAATATAAATATCTAAAATGCAGGGGTAATTAAAAACAATCTTGACTATAACCTGAAATAAAAAAATTATCACATCGATTAGTTTATTTATAAAAAATAGCAAGAAATATGTATTACTATTGGAAATAAAGGGTGCTACTCAGGAATAGTCAATTTTTCAATTTTTGGAAATGAGCACTATACCCAATTTTTGAAAAAAAAAAAAAGATAATTGGTACACGAAACGTAGGCTAAGAGTATTATTTGCAAAAAATTACGTCGTTAAGGTGACGACCATTTCCCTGGATACATGTTTTATGTCCCTGCAGGTTAAAATACACTTTTCAAAAAGGTTGCATTCGAAGTCCTTGATCTCCAGTTATACTGTGGCTTTTCAAACTTTTCCAGTTTTTTCGTTTGCCCTAGTACAGGACTTGAGGCAGAAGTTGCAATTTGACAAGTTTGACAAGCAACATCATAATTCTTATTGTACTTTTAAAACTCTGTTGTCTATCCTGACATATGTATTATATGCGAAAGTGCAGTGTTCTAACCTCCACAATGCCATGGTTACTATGTTAACATCCAACCAAAGAAAGTTGACGAACCACTTCCCCACCCATTACCATCCATGTGCTTGGAGTACCAGCCAAATCAAAAATTGACTATTACCCTGTCACAACCCTGTACCAATAGGTTGTAAAAATAAAATAAGAACGTTTTCAAATCGTAAAGGTGAAATACTTAGGGTGAACTGAAATAAAACTAATAAGAAAATATCAAAATTACCATAATTATCTTTTGTGGCTTATGGTACCTTCGGCTTGTTAAAACGAAGAAATATAATTAAACGATGCCCTGAAGTCAAACTTTTGACATTACGAATCCTTCATTGCTTGCATGTACATATCACATATAAGTTAAGCAGAGATTGTTTAAACAATTATCTGCTTATTTACAAAATACTAAAACAAATTCCTTGTTATAAATTATTGTTTTGGTAATAACGCCACATTTATGAAGAGCTTTATTTCAATTTGGCCAAAGTATCTCCTCACGAATGCTGACAACTGACATATTTCCATCTTATCCTGTAATTAATAACAAAGTAAATCTTGAAGTAGGAATTAACTGGTTGCATTTCTTAGGGGATATTATCGGAAGCGATATTCTGATGAAACTTGGAGTGAGTCAGTATTAGTTAAATTTATATACTATTCTTTCCACTGCAATCCATAATCAATGAAATTTTGGAATGTTATGTTATGCCTTCTAGCCATGTTCATCTAGTGCTCTTCCCCAACAATCTGATGATCTTGGAGGATGCTCGTTATTATAAAAATTATATCTCGTTTCCATTTCGAACATTTGCTCTTCTTACATAATATCCGCCAATTTAAATTTTCTTTCCCAATCTATATTCTCATTATTAATCTCTTCCCATCCTTAATGTGCCACTCTGGATTAATTTGCAGTAGTTTTTATCACTTTTCATCATTTTATTTGGTAGATGAGCTCATATTTGTGGTCCAAAAGTATTAATTTTTATAGTATATTTAATATCTGCAGATGGTTGGTTTGATTTTAATGTAATCTTGAAACTCGCAGAACTCTATGCATTCATTGCATTATTTAATTTGTCAAGATGAAAAGGCGAAACATTTAGTTGTTTTTTTTTACATATGAAAGGCCACATGATCTCTCGCATTCTTTATTCTAAAAACAGGGCAAGGAATTTTATAAGAAAATGATGTGAATTTTTTCATAGATATTCTGAAAAATTCCCAATGCTGACTTGAAGAAAAATACCTGCAAAATCTAAAACAGGGTGGCTATGATAACAAAATTTGTGTTACTGTATTTTAGTAAATTCATTCCGTTCAAAATTTGACACGGTATTGACATCAGTGCACAGTACACTAGTATACAGGACACTGACCATACTGTATAGAATCACTGAGAAATTCCACCCGTTAATGCTAATTTACTTAGACAGTGTCCCGTTCACTAGTGGCACATCTATCATTGGCTAAGACAAGAGTACAATTAAAAAACGAATGAACCAAAATAATAAAGTGAATTCGTAATATGAACTCGACTTATTCATTTTATGTTATAATTTAGAATGAGAATACAAGTCCATAAAATCTCATATTTTATAGACGATTTAAAAAAATATTTAAAAATAATAGATATATTCTTCAATTTAAACATTTAATTAGAAAATTTAGTAACTGCATAAATCTAAGTACAACTTGGTAAAATTTTAATTGAAACTAATTTATTCATTTTAAGTTTTTAGATATTAAATTGATAATAATAAGTCAGATGCAGCTAATCCTTTAGCTGTCTAAAATTATTTATACATTTCTATAACTAACAACTAGAATATAACTTTGAAGTAGAAATGTAACATGAAAAAAATATATAAAACCATGATTTATTACTATTATACAAGGCGAGAATATTTAACGTATCAAAGATATGTCCGATTTCAATTAATTTGTTTTTAATATTTTTAATGAAAAAAAAATTATTTGTGACAATATCAAGACATACTAGTCATCTTTCAAAAAGTATTTTTTTAATAAGTTACTTTTGGCAATAATAAAAAAGTGACGGTGCACCTTATATGTTTATGATATAAATTTGAATCTTTCAAGTACTTAAGGTAAGGTGTTTACTAAAAAACAATGTGATTAGATTCTACTAGAAGTAATATATATTTATTAGTTACCATCATACAAAATATAAAATGACAGATATGACAAAATTTTCTAAGAAAAAAAAACTCTTACTCCAGTAACGAGTTACACACAAAAAGACACTAAATTGTCAAGATAATGTACTTAGAATTTAACACGTTAACGAATTATCTGTTATTTAAAATTTAAAAATTTATCATTCTTTCCGGAATTCATATAAGCATATATAAATTCACTGTCAGATGAAGTGCAAAAATTGTAGGTTTTCCTAAAAACTAACTGCTTAATGATGACTTACGTAGATATTACATTGGAACTTTTTGATAATGGTATTACATGGAGATGCGTAATACTCGTAACACAAGATCTGTTTTGTACATGATTTAATACCGAGTTTGAAATCCGGTCAAATTCTTGAGAAATTATGAAACCACTAGCAAAAAGTTACAAGTTATGAGAAATTAGATTACAATATAAAAACTAGCTCAGTTTGAATTCAATTGGAATTCTTGACAGCTAGTAAAGTTTTCTAACTCTAGAAACGACGTCTTTTATTGGGAAAATCATCACGACGATTATCGCTGACCCAGTGGCCTCTACTGCCAATGTTTCCTGACCCGGCACGCGGGCCCGCGCTGTCACGTCCATCATAGCGGTTGCTGTGCCGCTCATATGAGCTCATGAATGCTTTTGGATCCTAGTTATAATACACCATGTTATAATCTCTGTTCCATATTTTGCAGATTATGATTATATAAATCGAGAGAAACAAAAAGCTTTTTAACTGCTCCAACATTCCCGTTTTTTAAGCCAAATTTACACACAATGTAACTAATTAAAAAAATCTTAATATCGGTTCTTTAAAAGATATTTGTTGTTGTTTGAAAAAAAAACAAAGTTTAGATTGAACTATTCAGTGCTATAAGGTATAATAATTAGTATTTTTGTAGGAAAACGGAATAACTATCTGAGATCTTCATCAACAACATGAAGTAGTAAAAATGTGACGGCCTTCAGACCAAAATTCATTCACATTTGAAGCAACTCAAATCAATGTTGACACACCCATCTTCAGTCAATTCTTCCCTGGAGTCTTGCATATTTTCCAATACCATCTTCTTGGCATCATTTTTTTAAGAATTAGATTCCATAGAAAAAAACACTAATCCATACCTTACAATGTAAATATTTCAACACATTGTGTGAAAATTTGGAGGAAGGAAAAAATGTTTAAAACAGTTTAAAAAACCTCAATAACAAAACTACTAATTATATATTCAACAGATAATTTCTCAGTTTTTTCTATATATGTGATGCATAAACCTCATTATATTACCGACTTGAAAAAAATGTATAAAGTCAAATCTAAGTGTTCAAAAACAGTAATATATTTTTATTTGACTAAGACTATTGACTATTTGCACAATTTGAAGTATATACAAAAAACTATTATTTAAAATTTAAAAGTTTTGTGATCTAATTCATTATCATTATTAAACAAATAGATTTTTCTCAAAAAATACTAATAAAACATTTTAATTTTAAAAACTGTACATTTTTCTATTCCTTTTTAAAGTAACTTTGTTAAGCAAACTCAGTATGCTTAAAGTATGAATGTAGTACATTACAGATCAAATTATATAGAGGTATAAAAATTTAACAATTTAATCAGATCAATAACAAAATGAGGTAAAACATAAGCATCTAGTAGCGCAGTTAGAAAATATCTGTGGAAGACACTAGAAAATTAATTCTAGCCGAATTTTATTCAATATGTTGTGACATTTTTAAATGAATTATTATCAATTAAAGTACAAAACCACTGTTATCATAAATTAAGTCTCGTTCAAATATATGAATCTTACATAGAAAAAAAAAGTATCTTCTTTTTCAAACCATTTCCTTGTCCACACATTTACTTCTGTATATTGTCTTCACAGATGGCGATATCCAAGATGTTAACATTGCATCTGATAAATATGTATGTTTGCTTTCACTAATCAGTGAGTCTCCATTACAATTTTCTTGTCACTATTCTTCTGCTTTTTGTTCATTTCTGGTGACGTTTTCCTTCTTAGTGGATCCAGATTGATTTTATTAAATTTATAAGAATATTCACTGGATAAAATTTAAATTGACTCACTTTTTTTTCACAGATATTTTAATTTAGGACATTGGTCATAGATATCTTGATATACTTTAAACAATATAATTTTTCATTTGATTTGAGTAATAGCCTACAACTGGCATTTTTTTAAACTAGATACAAAAAAAAGGTGAGCCTTTTTGTTAATTTTCAATATAGAAATATTAACGTTTAACATTGTAGAACGAAAATCGAGAATGTTCCAACAGTATACTTTCGACGCAAATATCGAGTACGAATTTTAAGTAATGATTAAATATTAAATTCAGCATTTAACAGATATTTTAAGTGGTCTTTTTTATTGACACCATTTTGAAAATATTTAGGTATTTTATTTCCGGTTACATAAAATTTTCCCATACCAAAAAAAAAAAAAAGGTTATATAACAGTAACTGTTTTTAGCGCACATGAGGATAAAAGTAATAAAAAAAATAGCATTTAAAAGATGTATTAAGTAGTTTTTCATAACACCATCTTGAAAGTATTTAGTTTTTCGCGTACATAAAGTTTCCCCATATCCCAAAAAAAAAGTTACATACATTGATTTTAGCGCAGATGATGATAAAAGTAATAAATAACATCTTGTTATGTGACAATTTTGAGAAATTATCAAATATTTTTTTGAGTTCAAATACTTTTATTTTCAATTGCGCTATATTGCTTCGATAAGGTACACGCACGAATTTATTTAGTTAGTATTACTATTTCACACAAGACTTTATTTATAGTTTCAATTTCTTAGCGGTTTCTAAGTTTAATTAAATGAAACTATACTTGTTTCTTTTAAACAAAATTTATTTTCCGGGAATTAAATAGCTTGAATTGACGACACCACACCAACATATATTCTCAAGGAAAAATCTTGAAAAATGGTTCTTGTTATCGAAACGATAAACATTGAAGTGGAAGAAATTTTTGATAACAATACAAAAATGCTGATCACTTATGAAGATTCAGTACGATAAACCCAAAGCATATTTATTAATTAAAAAATATGTCAGATTATTAAAGATCAATTTTCACATAGGGTACTGTATATAAACTATGCCTCTACCATATCATTTAATGCTAATCCACTGGCTGATTACGTTAAAAACTCATTTAACCAATTATCGCTCGCATTCAACAGGATAGGCACGCAGTCGGAGCATAGTACCACAATCGATCCCAAGAAGATAATAAACATAGGTCTTAAATATATTGGATAGAAAAGTTATACTGTCTTAGAAGATGATAGAAAGCCCATAGGAAAACCCAATAAATTTCACTACCGCTTTTTCACATTTGTTATCATTATACTGTTCAATATTCATATATTTATTGTTTATTCCATTAACACAATAGTGCAATAGCAATTGATTAATAAATTTTCTTAGAAATAAAATATCACTTTGGAAATTAAATACGCAATTTCTATATGCCGCAAATTATCATGTATAGTATTTTGCACAAAAACTGATATAAATTCAATAAATCGTGTCACAACATAATGAACAAAATAGTATATATATAGTTTTTCAATTCTTCTTTCAAAAATCCACTCAAATCTTGAATATAGTCGAGCCAAATTTATAACAGAAATTCTGTTTAAAGTATTAAAGCATTCATGTTTTGTCTGGATTACACAAATAGAAAATTTATCTGAAAGCATCATTATTATAATATCAAAAGGTATTCTCAATGTTTGTATTTATATTTATATGTGATACCAGGTCTGACATAAATATTAAAAAAATTTTGTGTACACTTAAATTTCACTACAAACAATGATAATACTTAATGTTCAGTCTCAGCATTATCTATCAACAATTCAAAAAATTTCCCTATGAACACTAAACTCTTGAGATTACACAGTATTAAACCAATAGAAAATATTCGTTTACATCATTAATATACATATGTCGCTGGGCGAGTCTGGTCATTCCACTATAAAACGTTACTGTTTTTCGAAGTATCTACCATCGCTTGTTACACATTTATACATACGCTCAAACCAGCCATCAAACCAGTGATACCATTTCTCTTCTGAAGAAAACTTGTGCCCTTTTGATTGATTTTTCACGTACGGGGAAAAGTGCGAAGTCACAAGGCCTAAATTGGAACTGTAAGACGGGTAATCAACAGTCTGATACCAGAAGCAGGTGCAATATCATGATGCAATAGCCATGTGCGCAGTTGGCATTTTGGTTGCAATTCTTGAAGCGTGTTTAACAGCGGGAGCAAACACAATTCAATATACCAATCCGCAGTAAAAGTGAATTAGGTATCTAAAGGAATTGTTTTGATTATGCGGCTATTGTTTCGGGTGTTCAACTTTGTTTGGCCGGCCCGGGTGCGTCCTCTAATACAAAAATGTTTCTTTCAAACTGTTTTGTACCACCATTCGACAATCCTGGTGGTTTGCGCAATATCACCCAATATGTGTTTCATTTCTTTGTGGCACTGTTGACGATACAGCTCACGACCACCAAAATTAGAATAAATTATTGTGCGAATTTGAGAGTACGTGAGATGCCATACTCACACATTTACGCCCTCTTTACTCGTCAATGTCTAGGCAGTTACTGACAAGTTTTGACAGATATAAAAATAAACAGTTCAGCATTTGATATTGTGCCGAACGACAAGACTTACCGAGCGACCTACATAATTATGTGAATCAAATGATCGATTTATAGTTCATAGAAATATTCTTACAAATCGCCAACAGACAGTTTACTGTTAGTAAATGTCCTTTTGCATTATAAATCAAGCTAATATAATTTAAAGCATAACTTACCATTGGAACGTTGTCATCTGATGCCAAACCTCCAACTGTAAAGATAATTATTCATTTCAATATATCTTGTTTTACTTTCCAACATTTTTTTAAAAACATGTATACGTAGATAGGAAAATAAAAATATCATATGCAATACAAAAAAATACTTACGATGACCATATCCAGCAGGTTGATCATAAGCCTGTTCTTGCTGCTCTAACATGGAATCTAAATTGTGCGCTTGCATAAAAAGATTATTCTCTTGTTGACGTCTTCTGAGATCCTCTTGCTGTTGCAGAATTCTTGACTCCATTTCTTCCTGTGTACGTCTCATCTGCTCTTCAGTCCTAAGCCTCTCCTCTTCAACTTGCCTTTCCTTCATCTCCCATTCACGCTTCTGTCTCTCTTTATCCAATTCACGAGCTCTTAACTGGTCTCTCAATACTTCAGTTTCGTGTTCATATTTGGCATACTCCATTTGAGCTTCCAATTTCTCTTTTTCCAGCTCAAGTTCTTTTTTTAAAGCCTCCTCTTTTTGAGAATGTAGATCATACAATTGTTTCCAACGCATTCCATATTCATTTTCAAAAGAACCAGGTGAAGCAAATCTTGGCCCATGTTCTCTTTCTTTATGGTAGTCTACATTCTTTTTAGGAACATTCTTGTCTGGGTACCCATCATTATCATCGACAATGTCATGTGATTCGACAATAACTGGTCTTAGTGAACCAGTTAAGAAAAAGCAGCCCTCAGCACATTTACGGATGGCATGTAAAGCAGAACCTTTTCGAGAGAAGTCAACAATACCTTCACCAGTTGGTTTACCCCTTTCATCAACTGTGATAATAGCCCTTTCAATCTAAAACAAACAAGTACATCAATGACACAATTATTCCCTTCTGAAAAATATTACTGCATACCTCTCCGAATACAGAAAAACCATAGTGTAGCAACTCATTGGATACATAAGGAGTTAGGTTTTTCACTTTGATAGTAGCAGAGTTAGGAGCAAACCTAATCTTTAAATTACGCGACTTCAAAACAGTTCCATCTAGTTCACGCTTAGCTTTTTCAGCATTACTATGGTAGTCAAGTTTGATAAATCCAAAGTTCTTTTCCTTATTCAAGAAGATTTCAGCAGTTTCTCCATAAGGTTTGAATAATTCAATGATATCTTCATCTGCAACTTCTGAGCCAATATTACCAATGTATAAACGGTTTCTACCGTTAAATTTCTTTTCAGTCACTGAAATTGAAGGTATTTCAAATGTAGGTCCAGATAACTGCTGAACACGTTCCATGAATTTGTCTTCGGGACCACGCATTCCAAAGCGACGTTCTGGAGGGCCACGTGGGCCACCATCTCCATCTTGAGGTGTTGAACCATCTTCTTGTTTCATAGGACCTCTACCACCTAGATGTCCACCACCTCGTCTTGGCCTGCCATCATGATTTCTATCATTACCTCTATTTGGCTGCAAATGAAAAATAAAACAAATATATCAAAACACAGGTTCTTGGTTATTTATAGAATGTTTGCAGTTTTCAAATGTTTTATAAATCCAATATAGTTTAATTTTTCAATTGAAAACATCCTATTAACCTCTTAATAACTAGCATGCAACATATTGTTAGTGCACGGTAATGAAATGGTGCATAAAATCAACACACGCATATATTATATTCCTTATATTCATAGCGCATTTTTATCTGAGCATATACATGTCTTGACCACAAGAGAAGGAATAAAGAAATCAACTGATGAATCGTGACTTTTATTGCTTTTTTTAAACATATTTATTACTAGACCTCTCATTTTTTTCTAAAAAATCTTATCAAATCTAAGTAATGTTAAACAATGTTCTGTGACATTTAAACCTTTTATTGTAATAACAATGCATTAATAAAGATAAACTATGTATGTAGGTAATTGATTTTTTACAGCAAGCAGTACATATAATAAAAGCTATTGAACATGGAGCTGGACATAATCCCGTTCTGCACTATAGGTATAGAATGTTTTACGTCAAACTGTAAATTTTAGGGGTGGGGATTTGAACACTTTATCGCAGACGAATATATATTCGATTATATGTACATGAAAGGCCCATACAAAAAATTTCCACTGTAAAACCTGACCTTGCACAATGCGACCGGCATGGCGGTGTGATAAAAACGGACAAAAACATTCGCAAGGAAAGAAATATGTGAATAGAATTTTATCGCACCTATTTTATATCGGCAAATTCAACTGCTTTTGCCTTTATTAATTAATAAAATTAATTTGTGTTTTTAAATAATAAAATCATTTGACATACCCGATGTTACAACAATTGTCCAAAATTTTATCCACAAATGTGTAAACACATTTGGGTCCGTTGTACTCAGTTTCTACGAACTAACACAAATGTTGTCTTGTTTCACCATAACACAAATACTTCACCATAAATTAAAACGATATCCATCAACACCGAGTACACGCAAACCATTTTTAACACTAACTACTAAAAATCTGTTGTAAACACCACAGATAGCAAGTACCTAAATATCGCAACGACAATTGCAAAATCCGAATTCAGTATTCGGAGTCGTTGAGGCCACATGGCGAATGACGCTAGAGACTACAGTTGTCCAGCTATGTAGTGGTTGAATGTACTATAACTTCAATTTTTTTTTTCTCGGAAACTATAGATTTTACAAAAATTTTTTTTACGACATTGATTCCATTTCTCATGCTGCATCTATTCCCAAATTTTTTTGGATAAGTTGTGAATCACCCTGTATACAGGGTGTCCCGGTACTTGGTACAAAAGAGTCGAGTACAAATAGAAGAGGTTGAAATAATATCAGTTCTTCGTATAAATTTTTTTCATACGGCCCTTCATTAACGACAGGCCCTCAAAGGTGAATATTAAAAAAATTATTTTATTTTCAGTTTCTAAACTCGTAACTTCAGCAGATACAAATTTGGTGATACATAACACATGCGTTTTTGATGTTGCAAGTGAAACTTCATTACGCCTAATGGATAACAACCCAAAATTTTTGCATAGACGACGATCGCAATCTGCCTGTATCAAAAATAAGTTCCCTGAAGAATTTGTCAACGATAATACCCTCTTGGTTCACTCGGTAAAATTAACAGTTTAGGAAATATTTATGATTTTATGTCACAGTGCATATCGAACAGCGCCTCCACCATTTTTTGTTTTTAATTTTAATCGGACATAATTACTATGTTAGAACCGTACATACATATTTTTAAAATAAGAGCCTAGAAAATCTTACTGTCTGCTAGTGTAATTTTCACTAACAAAATTTGACAAACACACTTTACACATAACACAAAATAGAAAAACAAAACAAGGATAAGTTAAAGTAAATTAAAAAATAATTTAAAAGAAAGAAAACCATCAAAATACATTTTCAATATTGGCACCTTCCACCTCCACACACTTCCTAAGTCTACAAATGTTATTTGTTTGTACACGAAAAAGCATTTCTGGGGTAATAATTTAATAGGTCCATATGTTTTTGAGGAATGTCTGAATGGACATCGACATTTGGAGATTTTACAAATTAATTTGCAGCCATTAATAGACGATGTTCCATTAGACACCCAAAGAAACGTTTGGTTAATGCACGATGGGGCTCCTCCCCATTTTAATATTGTATAAAAAAAATTATTTATCCATTGTGTTTAATAATAAATGGATTGGGAGAGGAGGCCCAATTTCATGGCCACCACGATCTCCAGACTTTAACCCGATGGACTTCGTGTGGGGATACCTGAAAAGTTTGTGTGTACGCAACCCCCAGTACAGACAAGAGATTAATTGCTACGAATGAATTTCCATCAAGGTAATATTAGACATACCCCAGAAATGCTTTTTCATGTAGAAACAAATAACATTTGTAGACTTAGGAAGTGTGTGGAGGTGGAAGGTGCCCATATTGAAAATGTATTTTGACAATCTTCTTTCTTTTAAATTATTTTTTTTTTAACTTACTTTCAACTTATTCTTGTTTTGTTTTTCAATTTTGTGTTACTATGTGTAAAGTATGTTTGTCAAATTTTGTTAGTGAAAATTAGATTAGAAGACAGTAAAATTTTCTATAATCTTATTTTAAAAATATGTACGGTTCTAACCTAGTAATTAAAAATTAAAAAACAAAAAATGGTGGAGGCGCCGCTCGATGTGCACTGTGACATAAAATCACAAATATTTCCTACTGTTAATTTTACAGAGTTGAACCAAGAGGGCATTATCATTGGAAAATTCTTCAGGGAACTTATTTTTGATACAGGCAGATTGCAATCGTCATCTATGTAAAAATTCTGGATTGTTAACCATTGGGCATAGCCCCTCGCTGGCGTTCTGGGCATAATGAAGTTTCACTTACATCAAAAACAAACTGTATGTATGTATTATCGATCCTCAAATTTGCATCATGCTGAAGTTAATAGTTTAGAGACTGTAAATAAAAATAACTTTAATTTTCACCTTTGAGGACCCTTAACTTGTTAACGAAGGCCTGTATGAAAAAAATTTATATGAAGAACTGATATATTGACATCATCTATTTGACCTCGACTTTTTTGTATTAAGTACTGGGATACCCTGTATATATATACATATGTCACAACCGATTAAGAGGTTAAACTAGTTACTAATTGAGCAGAACAGTTTTATACAACTACACTTTCATATATTCGGGCAAGTTGATGCATGTTTGGATAAAAATTGTACGTTCATTGATAAATATTTGGTATACTTGGACATCTTGACTTGAATCAATATAAATGCCCGTTCCACACCTACGCTATTATACAAATATTCAATATTCAGATATGGCGCATAACAAAAAAAAATTGTATTTCTTATAACTTAAATAACAGAGATATTCGGACAAACCTAAATAACAGATATATTTGGGCATACACAAATGATTTCTGTCTTGAGTCAACACACATCAGATAATCTGAAGAATTTCTTTAGCTCTATTTGAAATAATCAGTTTTTAGGTGTTACATGTGGACAAACTGTTGAAACAAATATGAACGTCACTAACAAATATTCGTAGAATTCTATTGGTCCATTTGCAAATAATGATCTCTCCAGATTTTAGGTAACCTGTATAGGACGAACGTTTTAGCAAATATGCATCATGAACATTCACTAGATAATATTCATAGAATTCAAGAAAATTGGTTTACGCAAATGTAGAGCTGAGATATAGATGTGTTACCAATACACAATTATTTAACTAACTGAACAAAGCTCTTCTCTATCAATAAGCTTTGAAATGTGCAACTGTGTCGATAAAATTAATCACTAGCACATGTGGCGGGTAAATGTTGATAGGACCATACATCTTTTTGGAATGAACTTATTCTATGAAATGCAATGTGTGTGCTCAGTTTTAAAATATAATGCTCCAATTTTAAACAAGCATAACTAAGTTATATGATGTGCAATCATTATGTATATTACCTATATATTCTTTCATTTATAAAATGTATAAGTTAGTCTAGCAGACTATAGATTTACATTCAAGTTAAAGCAGTGCCGGGTCTCTGACTGTATTCTCAAATATAATATTAGCATTATTCGAAAAGCTAGTGTTGATATAATTCAATTGCTTACTTTTATAAATATGGATTTCACTTACATTTCCACCACCTCTTTGACCACCAAAACGTCCTCCACGACCAAATCTATCACCACCGCCGCCGCCACCGCCGCCACCACCACGACGGTTCGGGCCGCTAAAACTATTTGGGCGATCTTGAGGAGCTGAATTGTTATCGTTTGTTGATGATTCTACTTTTATATTAGTTGTATCAGGATTACTTTGTTGTTCCATTTTGTTTCTGATACTAGTAAATCACAATTATATTAAAACAATTATAACTCACTGCCCTTTTGACGCGTCTTACAACAAAATGGCGGTCGAACCCAAGAACAAGAACCGTTCACTATCACTCACAGGTCGCGTTCTTCCCTAAACAGTTTACCCCCACTATGACAATCAATAACACGTATTTAGTTAACTGACCAATAGGAAGAACTTATCATTTAAGGAAACGGAACTATATAATACAGCCAACTGTTTAAAAAGAAAACTACAATAGGGAAGTGGGAAATTCAATTACTAAATAACAAAGCCATAAAAAATAACTTGTAGTACAATGAAAAAATGTAAATGTAATGGGAATATTAAACATTCGAGTATTTACTTTTTTAAGTATTTTATTAATTATTTATATTAAAATTTCTGTATTACTGATGATAAAAATAAATTTTTAAAAATTAAGAATATAATTTTTATGCAAATGAAAAGCACCTATCAACTTCTCAGTCCACTAAATGAATATGGTTATAATTCACTTAGAAATCACTATTTCTGTTTGATCGTGTTCACTATTTTGTACTGTCCTGTCTAATAACTGATTATCTCTTGATAAGGTTGCAGAATTATTTTCTAAGTGATTTTGGTCTGATTGTGTTGAATTAGGTTCTAATTGCCTTTGCTTTTCAGCCTCTTCGACACGTTTATTAACTATTTCTGTCTGCGCTTTAACAAAGTTTTGCATTAATTTGTTATTAAACTTTACAAACTTTGAGGAACAGTCTTCAACACAAGTTATTTCATCTTCACTAAGTTTCCTTGAATTCATATTATCAATACACCTTGCAAAGCATATCTCACTCATTTTGTTATACAACTGAAGGAAGTCTCTAAACTGAAAAATTTTGACATAAAAATAGGAATAATGCGACTCATATTATACTAACATTTCGAATGGCACCAGGATCCATTTCCATTATGATGATTATTAATTGAATAAATATATTTCCAAAACTGAGTTGATTTAAAAATTTAGATTTTAGGTTACGTCGTTCCTGTTTCTATGAGTTATTGTTATTAGCATAGCAGTAGTAGACCAGTAGAGTAAAGAGTAGAGGATAGAGATGGACAATAAGTAATTCAAAGTAGTTCATTTGCAGGCATGGGAATAGTTCATTTGTAGGCATGGGAATTTAATTAAATTTCTGAACATACCTGAAATCAAATCAAATATATGATTCTATAATATTCATAGGATTGTTAATGGTTTTCTTTTATTTATATATAAGTATTATTAGAATGGAAAATATCTTTAATATTTTTCGATACCTATTACACTCACCTAAGTAAATCAATTTAATTTGAAAAGTTACTATTTTTAATCTTCGCGGTAAATTCAGTAGTACAAGTTGGTTATTTTTAAATTATTATGTTGGAAAATTGTTTTGTTATCGATGACGTTATCAGGTTAACAAAATTGTAGGTAGTTTTTGTTGTTGGTTTGGTGTTTTTGATAATATTTAAAAAATGTAAGTACCTATGTAATTATGTGATAATTTAACTTCAAAAGTTAATGCTTTTCGCTTTTTTAGATGTCGCAACTAAAAACTTCAGTTAGTTTAAGTGCCGAGAAAACAAGTATACATGATATGTTAAAAGACACACCACCACTTGATAGAAGTACCAATACCAATGTATCGGCTTCTGCAGCAAATTCAAGTTGTCCATACACTCGTTCAATTCCAACCTCTCTACCCACATGTACCAGTTCCCCAGCTATATTAACTCCGTCATCCCCAACTCAAAACGAGGATTCCACCATTCTCAAAACTTCTTCTCGAATTGAAAATATAAAAAATTGGTCTATATCCACTTACAAATGTACTAAACAAATTATGTTTGAAAAATTGGGAAAGTCGTCCAGAACTGTCGATGCAGGTGTGTTTTAAGTATATGCCTGATTAATGAAATTTTTAAAAAGTTTAACATTCGATCTGCTTAATATTAATTTTGTATGTTTTTCTAATTATTTAGATTTGTGATGTTGGTTAAACATTTTGTAGAACTGGAAACGCAGATTGACCAATTGAGGGAAACACAAAAAAAGTACATTAATATTTTACGGTTAGCAAGAGCTCTCACTAGTCATTTTTACCATGTTGTTCAAACTCAGGTAAATATTAGCATGATTGGAAAATGTAGAATTTAACAGTTAACATTTTTAGCATGCCTTAGGAGAAGCATTCTCTGAACTTGCTCAAAAATCTCCAGAACTACAAGAAGAATTTTTATATAACTCTGAAACGCAACGAAATTTGACAAAAAATGGTGAAACACTGTTAGGGGCATTAAATTTTTTTATATCATCTGTTAATACATTATGTAATAAAACAATTGAGGATACTTTACAAAGTATTAGACAATACGAAGCTGCACGGATTGAATATGATGCTTATCGTACTGATTTGGAATCCATGTCTACAAAACCAGATGGAACTATAGGGCTTGAAGAAGCGCAACAGGGATATGAAGTACACAGACAACAATTTATGAAATTGAGAGCTGAAGTTACTATTAAAATGAAGTTTCTAGATGAAAATAGGGTAAGATAAAGAATAAACTATAAAAAATGTCTTTATATAGATTAATGTAGTATTATACTTTTTTATATCAGATATTAAAATATTTTAATCTTTTTTTAGATAAAAGTGATGCATAAACAGCTGCTTTTATTTCACAATGCAGTTTCTGCATATTTCTCTGGAAATCAACAAGCTCTTGAAGCAACCCTGAAGCAATTTAATATCAAAGTAAAGACACCCAATTCAACCTTTCCTTCATGGTTAGAACAGTAGATTTGATTAATATCTAAGGCACTCATACAAGCATTAAATATCTAGTCAGTTATTTTAATAACATTAAAGGATAACTTGCAGATGTTTTACAGATAAACATCCTCTTATTTATGAACGTTTAATTTGTACATATCTATAATTTTTTAAATATATGTGTTTTATGTAGTACATACTATTATTTGATAGTTGAGGACAAAATAAATCACAGAAAATATTTTAATGCTATTAAAATAGTTCTATATGTAGGGAGAAACCTTTTCAATTTTTAATTTATCTGCAAAATGTCTGATACATCCAGCATATTTTTTTAAGCTTTATATTTTATTTATATAATGTTTTATTGATACGATAATATAAATTATTAGAAAATGTTTTTGTTCATGTTGACTATCGTAATATTACAGGTTGTGAGCATTTTTAGAATTTGTTATGGTAGAATTCCAAAAACAGTGTTAAAAAGTAACACATCAGAAATGACATGCAACAAATTTATTGCAAACCAGGAACATATCCATCAATATACAGGGTGTGCCATTTAACACTCCCGCTGCCAATATCTCCGAAATGAAGAAATTTATTTTAGTTTCGGAAACTGGGCATGTTAGGTCCCTCGAATAGCTTTAAATTGTAGTTAAAACTGTTAGTTCAAATATTTCTGTATAGATGGCGTGGCGATACTAAAAAAATTTTTGATCCCTGGAACGTGGAAATGCAGTCCATCTGAAAGATCGTTAAATTTTGAGTAATTTTTGTAATATAAAGTTTCTCCCAATGTTTACTTGTTTTCGAGACATATCAACTTCAATATGCAATGTATGATGTAACGGGAAAATCTATTATTTTATTTAAATCACACCGAGACAAAATATTCTTTTAAAATATTGTTATAATGGCTTTATTCACACCACATACTAACTAACAAACAATAAATTATAAGAAAAACAAATGATCAACTACAGAAAAAAAATTATACAATGGTAAATCTTATAACTAGTATAGTTAAACTGAAAGACGCAAGCTGATAAAACTAATTATTGGAAAACTAATGTGTCATCTGTCATTGTTTCATTTTAAACAAATTACATGAGCCACCTATGACTGCATTTCTTAATAATATTTGATAAAATACAGTTTGTCTCTGCGCTTTATAAGATTTACCATTGTACAATTTTCTTTTCTGTAGATCATTATCTTTTTTAAATAATTATTGTTTGTTAGTTAGTATGTGATATTAATAAAGCCATTATAACAATATTTTAAAAGAATATTTTGTCTCTGTGTGATTAAGATAAAATAATAGATTTTCCTGTTATATCATAGATTGCATATTGAAGTCGATATATCTCGAAAACAAGTAAAGATAGGGAAAAACTTTATATTACAAAAATTACTCAAAATTTAACGATCTTCCAGGGATCAAAAATTTTTTTAGTATCACAACGCCATTTATATAATATAATTTGAAGCTATTTGAGGGACCTAACAACTCCAATTTCCGGAACTAAAATAAATTTCTTCATTTCGGAGATATTGATAGCGGGTGTTAAATGGCACACCCTGTATACCAGAAAAATTAACACTCTTGAAAGAATTATACACACTAAAATTACTGTTCATCTTCTATATCGAAAGAAAAAATGGTTGATTTTATACTTAATATTTCATAAGACTGTATGATAGTCAATATGGTTATGGTAAACTACTTTTTTATTTTTATGAGATAACATTGTCCATGTCTTAATTTGTGAAGAACTAATATGTAAAATTTATTTTAAAATCGATAATAAATTTCTTCACATTTTATTAGCATTTTATTTATGACGAAATGAAGTTATTGTGAAATGTCTACTAGTATTTCACATTGCAATAAAAAAAACGGAAAAATATTTATATGAATAAGTAAATAACAACACAGTAAAACTATAATACTAAGAGTAAAAATGATATATACATATATAGGAATAGACTAAACTAACTTACTGGAAAAATATACCTATCGTTTTAGTAGTATTGTAATTGAAATTGATATAAATTCATTTGTATACTATACAGGGCGTTCCAATGTAAAGGGTAAATTTGAAATGTCAGGCATACTATCGATTTCTAAAATAGCCAAGCTAGTAAGCTCTAATTTAAGGAAGACACACCATTTCGCAAGTTTGTTTTCCCCTATGAGGAGTAGCTCAAAGATAAAGACATATGACAATTAAAATGCATAGAGGCTAATTTTTATTGAATTATTGAAGTTAAAAAAAATGTTATCACTGTAAAGAGAATATCACTACCTTTTAAACGATGTACCATTTGACCCCTATTCCCTATAATGATTTTCAAAGGGGTAGCTTCCCCTCGTAGGGGAATGAAGGTATAAGGTTAATTTTATTACAGAAGAATGCCTGCTTTAAATCAGAGTATACATGTTTAGGCGTATTTTTTTAATAATCCATAATTTTCCTGATAATCCAAATCTGTCCTTTTCATTAGGACATCTTGTATTTTTTATTGAAAGAAAGCAGTACCGATAATGTTTTAAATATAACTAATTTTACTCAGTAAAGAAATAAACAAAAATTATATAAATAATGCAATTCTATTGAACAATAAATATTCAAAATTCAAAATTATTAAAAAAATCAGTACTACCAACCAAAACTATTTAGTTACTATTTTAGCAATTACAGATTTCTATAATATTTACTGATAAATAAAAACAGAAATGGCAAATTGTTAAATGTAATCTAATTGTTATTAATAATTTATAAGGGTTTCATAAAAATTACTTTATAATATTGAATGTTTTGGAGGAATGGCTGCAGTATAAAATAAGAATCTGAAATGACACTAAAATTTTAGAGGTCATCTCTAATATCCTATAATTCTCATGTATAATCCGGTCCCGGTCGTGGTTATGTTTAGTTTTTGAAATCGCCAGGAAAATTTCAGTTTATTAACGGTGTCCATGAATATTTCACTATGTCAGATTTAAGAAAATCAGTTTTAGGAATGCACGCCAAACGTTCTGGGTAAGATACTGACAAACAACCCCTAGTATTAATTAATGTAATGAGATTTGTTTTAATAGGTTAGCAGCTGCTTCAAAACAAGATTTTACTCCTGTAAAGTGGACAGAATACTTTGATTCAGAAGAAAAAATTCAGACTGAACATGGGAATTTTCATTTATTTAGTAAAGGTAATGAGGGTCCTATTTTATTGTGTTTACATGGCGGAGGCTATTCCGGCTTGACATGGTCACTATTTGCTGTAAGTATAAAATTTATAAGAATGTAGTTTTTGCAATGTTTTAACTTTTTAGGCCGAGATTTTAAAAGTAATACATTGTCAAGTTAAAGCGGTAGATTTAAGAGGGCATGGTAATACCACAACTAATAATGACTATGATCTTTCACTAGAGACATTGGCTAGGTAATTATAAAATAGATAATATGTCAACTAATGCACTATTTTATATAAATTTATGTACGTTCTACAAATTTCAAACTATATTGTTTATATAATAATAGTGACGGATAGCCATATTGATTTTTAGAGGATGATTTGTAGGCCCTCATAGATAACTTTTGTGGCGAAACAATGGCAAACATTAGAAAAAAATTAAATAAATTTGACCGATACTGATAGATGAAAACAGGCATTTTCTTATATTTCACAATTTTTTCTTGTTTTTTTTAAAGATAACATTCTGAAGATGAAAAATAAAATACTAATAGCTTTGCTCCTAGTGCATTTAGGTAAATCAGTTTACAACAGTGGCGGCTCGTGACATTGAGAATAGGTGAAACGTATTCATTGATTGACTGAAATGAAAAAAAAAAATCGCTGCACACGAAAATTTTGAAATTTTCAAGGTCAAACGGCTTTAAATGAATCTGGACATTTTTAGTTGCATTTGCAATATTTCCGAAAAACTGATGTTCGTGAGAAGGATTTTCATTTAGATTTTACAAAAAATAGAAATATTAGTTCGGCTTGTGGACTTCTGCGAACATTAACGCACATGTATATTCCAAAGAAGCTTTGTGGTTACGAAAGCCTCGCGTGACTTTCCCAAAATTGTTAAATCCCCCTTTATTCCACACGTCTGACTTTACACCCACTATTAAACACCATACAGAAAAGTTTTTTTAAATAAACACTTCTTCACAACCACTTATACTCCGAATACCATTCATTCCAAAACTTCCGAACGTACACATTGTCTTTTGACTTCTGCTTTTTTCCATATCTAGAGAATAAGGCACAGGTCTCTCGCAATTTAAAAATCCTTTTTGTCCTCCATTTTCCATCTGGAAAATGGCGTTTCCAATAAAATACATACTGGATCATACATAGGAAACATTTCTACAATTATTATACAAAACAAATATTAACTAGGAACAGTTATAATTGTGCACTGGGCGACACGTATATAATATCAGCATCACTCGTTCCCCACGCCGTAATTTTCTCCCATGTTGGCCGCCTCGTTGCCATGACAACCGCCGTAAACAACGCTTCGAAGAGAAGTCGATCTGCGTCACTTGCATATACTATACATTGTATGGTACGAGGTTGATGTTCGTGCTCAACGAGGGCAATGTTTTTTTAGAAGGCATTCACTGCGCAACTATTCTGTTTTTTTCTGCGTATTAAACAAACAAACACAATACATTTTCAATATAGAATTATACCTAAATTATAAAATTTATATAAAATTAAAAATAATTTTAAATTGCACAACCAAACGGAAATGTTAGGTGAAGCGGTGCATCACTTGCGTCACCTGACGAGCCGTCACTGGTTTACAACAGTCAGATGCATTCGCATTTGATTCGAAACATTGAATTTTGAACCTTATGTAGGTAGTAGTAGTAGTAAAGGGGCGGCCTCAGCCTGGCAATTAGGCCACAAGTGGGCCCTTTTTGCCTACCCCGCCGTCCCATCACCTGAACCTTATGTAAGTATTATATCAGAATATATATGCCTCTGACTGTTGGATCTGTTTTGGATTGTTCTACGTACAAAGCTAATATCAAAATAAAATTTAAATATGTCACTATGAGGAAGAATTAATTTTGCAAATAATAAAAAAACACCTAATCTATCAGTTGATGCCCTATTCAAAATTTCAGGGTTGGCCACCCTATTTTAATTTTTAAGTTCAAACACACACAAATTTGTGTTCCTAATCCTCTAAAAAATGATATGAGACCCATGCATCATTATCAAAATGACCATTTTATTTTTCGCAAGCCTTCACTGATTGATAACAATTCTTTTAGTGATGTAGTTGAGGTAGCAAATTATTTAATAGAAAAAGTTGGTACCCCCATTATATTAATGGGACACAGCATGGGTGGAGCTGTGGCTGTGGAAGCTGCATATCATATAAAGTCTGTTGTGGGTCTGTGTGTAATCGATGTAGTCGAAGGAACAGCTTTAGATGCATTGTCTTCAATGCAAAGTATTTTGAGAGGCAGGCCTTCTCATTTTAAAAGCCTACCTCATGCTATCCAATGGTGGTAAGTTCATCTTATTTAATGATATCATGGTTAAGGCTGGATGAAATATTTAACATTTATTTTTAGTTATAAAGGGGGCCAAACTCATAATTTAGAAGCAGCTCGAGTATCAATGCCAGGACAAATTGTCAAGTAGCTATTAAGTAAACAGTGAAAATAATAAATTTTATGTTAAATTATTTTGCAGTATGAAAACAAACAAGTTAGCTGCTGATGAATGTGACGACATTGACATGAATAATATTGAACTCACTTCATCATCCCATAGAGAGCTGGTGGCTTCTTCATATACTTTAACCGAGGTAGCTGAAGAATCAGATGAAAGCGATGAAGCTAAATGCAGTGACTGTGGTAAACCCCCACTTCCTAAATCTCAGAAGACTGATGTTTTTAAATGTCCCAATAATTTTAAAGTTAAAGATGATGGGCCACAATATACATGGAGAATTGATTTGAGCAAGACGGAACAATTCTGGACAGGATGGTTTAAAGGACTCTCACAGAAATTCTTAGATATTCGCATCCCTAAAATTCTATTGCTTGCCAATATCCATGGTTTAGATACTACTCTAACTGTAGGTCAGATGCAAGGTATGGTTTTATTTTATAGAGTTATTTTGCAAAATCGCAGAATTATAAACCAGTAATTCTACTCCATTGTCGGCATTTAATTTTTTTTCTGAGATTCAGTGTGCATAATTTATTTAATTGTGCAGGAAAGTGTATTAAAATAGAAGATAATGATGGTGATAAATAAATAATTTAAAAATACTGAAATTAGTGAGTTTGTTAGATTTTTGAGATCTCTATAATTACCTTAGGCAATTTGTTCAACCTTTCTTAGTGGCAACATGTTATGTTATAAATAACAATTGATACAATTACGTTACATTAAAATGTTAAAGGGACTTTGAAAATGATAATAAAAATCTCTTCGTAAATATACCCTTAAAAATTCTTGACATTAATGCCCTCAACATTATTTTATAACTATTATATACAAGATTATATTATTTTATACATTATCCAAGGGCATCGTCCGCCAATGGGGGGCAAGATAAGAGAGGCGATGGGAGAAATATAAATTACAGGTAGAAATAAGTACAGTGAATTAATTTTTTTTAGAAATATTTAATAAAACCTTTTTAATACAAGAAAAACATTAAAAAAAATATTTTTATTCATTGGAATTGGAAATATGTACAGATTTGATCTGTGGTTGCAGACTTCTGTTTAACAATTTCTATATAAGGACAATGTTTTACCCCACCAACACGAGATGGCCTTAGTGAATGCATGCTCCGTCCGCCTTATCCAATCAAATCCTTTTATTTACTTACTCATATGGATATAGTGCAGTATTTGAAAAATGATTTGCGCCAGTCGATACTAGACATTGAGGGTTGCCTTCGCTGTACAGCAAAAATAAAACGCTCTCTCAACGGTGCAAATAAAGTATTTTTATTGAAAACTAAGCTTGTGAAGAAGACGGTTTGAGGGTTCGCTGGAGAGTCCCTGTTCGTGTGGAGTCATTCGCAGAAGTACCTGGTCCTTGGCGTCAACCTGCTGGGGTCGTCTTCTGGAAACCCTGATGCGTCCGGTATGGCGTCAGAATGGCGCTATTGATGTTGTCCTTAAAAAATGGGTCACTTGCGAACATGTGTACCCACAACATATTGAATTAATCCAAAGTAAACAAAACAGCAACAAAAGTAAATCGTGAATAGTTTAAATTTAAGCAGAATCCGTTCCGAACGCTTACAAAGGGCAACGGAGGTTAACCTCCACTGTTCAGTTAATTATTGCTGACTTTGAAAAACCGCTACTGCCAGTTGACTTCACACCTGGTAGGATATGACGGGATGGTAAACGGTTAAAAAACCCAACTGCTACGTTAATTCGGCGAAACGGGAATGGTTTAGTACGTCCTCACCGCTTTATTATGTTACATTTATATTTTAGTTTGTGAAGTGCCTTTGTTTAGTGTAAGTTCGATAAGTGAATTTTTGTGTTTTCGATTTCAAGTTTTTGTGTGATATTATGAAAAAGCAGTATACGAATCAAAAAAGAGTCTATGTGGTTGAAGCCTACTTTTTGTCAGGAGAAAACGATGTTGTTGCAAGAAGATGATCAGATGGATTATCTCGACATAGAAGTGCCGAATAACAAAAGTTTGTAATATTGGTTCAACACTTAAGAGGTAANTTTAGCTTATGTAGATGTTTCCTAAAGTGACAGTGTCCCGTTATGAGTCCTGTCACTCTCCTGAGCCGGATTCTATTCAAGCTCAGTAGCTCATTCGCTCTTCCCTTCGAAGGATACTCCATAAGCTCCTTAGAATGGCTATGTCCTGGCCTTGAAGTCCAGTATTTCCTATGTTCTGTCTCTGTCCATTTGCCCAGAGCCCGCCTGACCACACTGGGAGATGTGCCACAGAAGGGCTCCGGGCCAATGAACACTGTCTCGGATCCCTTCCTAGCAAGTTCATCCGCTTTCTCATTTCCACAAATGCCTTTGTGCCCTGGCACCCAACACAGTCTGACTGTATTGTTGGTGGTCAGTTCAGTCAGCATTTGTAAACAATCCCACACCAGTTTTGAACTTACCTTGTGTGCGGCTAAAGCTTTAATTGCAGCTTGACTATCAGAGAATATATATATGAGTTTACGTTTATAACCTCTACGTACATTCTCTGCCAGACACGCCATTATCGCGAAAATTTCTGCATACTGGATCATACATAGGAAACATTTCTACAATTATTATACAAAACAAATATGAACAAAGAACCGATATAATCGTGCACTGGGCGACGCGTATCGTACAAACTGTTAAAGGCAGGCGATAGGCGATGCTGCTTCAATTTCTGTGTCACTCGTTCTCCCACGCCGTAGTTTAATCACGTATTGGCCGCCTCGTAGCCATGACAACCGCCGTAAACAACGCTACGAAGAGAAGCAGAATACATACTGTTTTCAATCTGCGTCACTTGCGTATACTGTACGTTGTATGATCCGAGGTAGATGTTTGCGCTCAACGAGGGCAATATTTTTTAGAAGGCGTTCACCGTGCAACTATTCTGTTTATTTCTGTGTAAAAAATTAAACAGATAAACACAATACATTTTCAATATAGAATTATACCTAAATTATAAAATTAAAAATAATTTTAAATTGCACAACCAAACGGAAATTTTAGGTGAAGCGGTGCGTCACTTGCGTCACCTGACGAGCCGCCACTAGTACATACATATAATAGGAATTAAATATTATGTGTTACTGAGAAGGCAAAAAATAACAATAAACTATATCGTAAAATATGGATATGCATTTATTAAAAATAAAATAGAAGACTAAAAAAACCAATTTATTTAGAATATCCACTTTTTACAAAAGGGTTAACGTGTAATGCTTTCTTTTTTGCGACATATTTGCATAGCAATAATATTTCAACTAAAAAGATCTAATCGAGAAAGGTGCCGACTCGCATACAAGGATATCCCTGAGACTGCCGGGGAATTACGTTTTTAACGGTTACTTTATATTATGTAGTCTGACTCGATAATCCGAACTATATATGCTAAACCAAATTTTGTTCGAATTAAAGAATTTTGTTCAGACCATCGAAACGGGCATTCGTCAGGCTGGATTAGTGGATATTCGGATTAAGGTGAGTTTGGATTAAAGAGCCTACATTGTATTTTCAAAATGTATTGCACATAATCTGTATAAACTGTTATGTATTCTCAAATTGTTACTAAAAAATAATAATGAAATAAAAATCTTATCAACAACAAACAAATAAAACACGAAATATGTATAAAAATATAGTATAGTGTGATACTAAATTTAAAGTCTTATGTATTTAGTTTTTATCGAATTATATTTTACGACGAGGAATTTTAAAACAAATTAATTATTTAGTTGGAAAGTTATGTTTTCAGTATGCCTTTAAAATAGCATATCAGACACTAAAATGTGTTGTTTGTATGTTACCAGAAATTTCAGTTCAATTCAATATATGGAACAAAATATATTTTTCTATATTTCTTAAAAGATCTGCTCCAAAATAGTACAAGTTGCACAAATTGTGGTATTTCTATATAGCATGTTTGTAGCAATGTGCTGGTGATTTTAAGAGAAATACTATAACATCACCCTTAAAATACTTAGCAATGCGCACAGGATGTAGGGGCAGTAATTTTATATTATGTTCTTTTTGCAGGTAAGTTTCAGATGCAGGTTCTAGCAAGATCTGGCCATGCTATTCACGAAGATCAACCTCACAATGTAGCTGAAATTGTTAGTGGCTACCTGGTAAAGCAGAAGTTAGCCGAACCAAAATCTGATTTCATTCAACCTCCTCTTCCTTCTTGTTAATCAGTATCGTTTCTTGTGGTATTACTCGTTTTAAGTATTCTTTTTTTGGTGTTTTGGTCTAGTACCAAATAGTTTAGGTAAAAAATTTGTAACTGTTGCATTTGCTTTAAATATGTTCTTCTAACAAGACTAAATTGTTAGAATCTAGGTAATGTTTTTCACTGTAAAGATTCTAGGTTGAAATGCATTTGGATGACTAAACAGTTTTGATTGTCTTTCAGCAGCATGAAGATTTTTTCATTTGAACACCTTTGTTGATAGTTTTTCAGTTTATCTTTAGAAAAATTTATATTAAAATCAATTTTCATGCAAACAAAATTTGTGATGAAAGTTGATTTGAACATCGAACAATAAATCATTCAGTGACCCTAAAACTACAGATTACATAATTTTTAATAAATACAACAAATGTTTTTATCATAAGAAATTACCAAATGCGATCTGTTTCCCATTACTTAACTTGTTTGTACAAATTAGGTTATTTTTCAAATTATTCAATACTGTAGAAGTGTACAATTGCAAAAATCATATTTTAATAATATATAGTTCTTAAAGTTTACCTATTTTTTATTTTACCTCGACGTAAAGAAAAATGTATTGATTGAATAAGGCACGTGTACATTTTCTGATCATGAGAGAATCATTTTTGTAAATGTATTTTGTCTAGCAGTTTCCTTAAAAATTTGCAGCATACATACTTTAAATATATTATTATAGAAAATCTGAAGTTGTTTAAAAGGAGGAGGGCCCCTAAGGCCGGTTTTTGGCCTAATATTTTTGGCTGAAAAAAATGAAAGTTTTTTTAGTACCTACTAGCAATCGTCTCCACCTTAAACGGACCAATCCCTCACCCGCCTTTCTCCCTCCACCCCTTTAAATTCTGGGGAAGCAATCGCTTATAGAGGAATCTTTAAAGAGCTTAGAGGTACGAAAGACATTCAATTCCTATGAATCTTACATATGAAGAGTTTTTTGGGTCGATGATCACGAATCTGGTCTCAGACTCATGAAATTCAAAATGGCGGACAAGAAAATTGAAATGTCTTCAAAATGCATGAATTTTTGTGTAGTGGTGTTTTTTAGGTCTCTGATTACGAATCTGAAGGCAGAATTAAGAAATTCAAAATGATATATTCCATATATCGTAATTAGCGACCCAAAAAACCCCTCAACACAATTTGTGCATTTTGAAGACATTTCAATTTTTATACTCGCCAAATGGGCTACTCAAAGACACAAAAACCCCCAACACAAAAATTCGTGCATTTTGAAGACATTTTAATTTTTTTTGTCCGCCATCTTGAATTTCGAGATTCTGGGACCAGATTCGTGATCAGCGACCCAAAAAATTCTTCATATGAAAGATTCATAGGAATTGAATGTCTTTCGCATCTCTAAGCTCTTTAAAGATTCCTCTAATAAGTGATGGTTTCCCCGGCATTTAAGGAGGTGGAGAGGGAAAGGAGGGTGAGGGGGTTGGTCCGTTTAGGGTGGAAAAGATTCAGTATTGCTAGTAGATACTAAAAAAAATTGTTTCTGATTTTTTCAGCCAAAAATAAATTAGGCCAAAAACCGGCCTTAGGGGCCCTCCTCCTTTAGATATAAAATAAGATATGTGCGGATTCAAAAATTTATTGGTAGGAAATTAACAATACTGACTATTAACTTGACTAGACTATAACAAACATTAAACATTCCAATTAAATTACATAAATATAACATTACATTGTTAATACATTTGGCAAATTCAATAATGACTAGTCTAATGCACAACACAATACAGGTAACAGTAATATAAAGCAGGTATCAACACAGTTTTAGTAAAAATATATATCACAAATGGTATGCAATGCAATGAGGTAGATAAAAATGTGTACTACTATGATGGAGTTTTCATTTCTTGTTTTATGCAAGTCTTGAATGCTTCCCAACCTTCATTTTTGGCATAAGACTGAAAAAATAAAAATATTAGATAACAGAGCCTTCATAAATGATTACAAGCCACGTGACCAGTAATTTTCTTTGGAACAGTAATTGTATTTCCTTCACATTGGAAAATAAATTTCGGTAAAATTAAAACAATAAGATCAAGATTACATTCAAACATTATGTTTCTCTGGCTCTGATCGCTGTAATTTTTCACGAGATTCTACAACCAATCAGCGATCACATTATCTCCAGCGTAGACATAAAGGTTTATTACTGTCCATTGTAAACGAGTCATTAACATTGCTACCGCCAAGATTTAGGTATTTTTTGTTACCAGTTGGGTTGCCTGCGCTCGGAAGTCAGGTGGCTTGTAAACATTTATGAAGGCTCTATATTACACTTTATAAATTCTGTTTGTTGAGTCGATCACTGTGTATAATTTTCTTGGCTGAGAATATGTCATATTTGTTAATATTATTTACTCAACTTTCTAACATAAAGTATTTAAGTTTTAAGGGCTTACAGGAAAAATTATATTTCTAAAAGTCAAGGAAAGCTAAGTATGAAATGTGATTCCTATAATTTTCAACGTTTTTTTTAAGCAATTCTGTCATGAATCTGTCATCAATTATGATTTTAAGCTTGGTATAATTAAATTATAAGGTATACTGCATAAATGTTGGTAAAAATTAAAATATATATGTTGCCAACAATTTCATATAAACTTAACTGCTTCTACTGAAGATCTAGTTTCATCAAGATAGCAGTCATATCTGTTTTCGTTTGAAATAGTAGGTTAATAATGTTTGCTTACTTTAAATCCTCTATGTAGTCGGTCTTTCATAATGGCAATAAATTCTCGGTAACTCAGCAAACCGTCTCCATCTTCGTCAAAAATGGAAAATACTGTGTGAACTAAATGAGGACTTAGATTTGTACCAGTACATATTTTCACAGCCCTATGAAATTCATCTAAAAATTTAAACACAATATTTTGGCTGTTTCACAAACTGAAATAATACCTTTGGAAATTGGATGATCTGCAAGAGTATACATCCGCATGGCAATACTAAAATCTTCTAAATTATTGAGAAACTGGCAGAAAACATGAAATTCTTCAAATGAAATACCTTTGGAGTCTTTAATTCGGTCTAAAAGCCTATCTAAATACATATCATATTCATCAGTATCTAAATACGTATATCTCAATAATATTTTTGCAAAGTCTACTTCTGAAATTGTCGGAAGCCCTTTTGAAAACTCGTTAAACTCTAATTCCAATACTTCAGTCTGAAGATGAAGCATAAATTTCTTAAAGCTTTCAAAGTTAAGGTCACTGTTTCCTTTAGGTCCAAAAAAATGGACAATAAGCGTAGTGTCCACAACATGTTTACGTTGCAAACCTTGTTCATCGTCTACATATTGTTCTTGAATAGATGCTACTTTCTCGATGTCTTCATTTGACAAACCTCTTTTGCCTTTCCAAGCATGGCTAAAGATTTTTTCCATCTAATAAAGGATGTAATTAAATATCATATATACACAGGTTGTGAATTGAAGAAGCCATACGCATCATAAACGTTATGAACTAGTATGTTATATTATCATTCTATAATTTTCTTATTAATAAAGATTTCAAATATTCTGGGTTGCAATGCAATGGCTTCTTCATTATTCTGAGATGTTAATATAAAAGACAATGTTTAGACATTAGGCACTGAAAACAGGTAAGCTTTTAGTCGACGTTACATCACATGGTTGTTACGTAAACAAATGCAAAAAAACACCTTAATGTAGAACAAGCAGTAATGTAACTGAAACATGTTTTGTTATTTTGTAGTCAGCACTTACTGGAATATCATCTTCGGTTTTTTTGCCTGCCAATAATTTTCGTATCTGTTTAAGTAATCATATAGTATCAAATTCTGTAAAAAATACCTACATATTTAAAATGACGAGCTTACTTACCACCAAAAATTCATTTTTATCAACTCTTTCGTTACCATCAGTATCGAACATATTAAATGCAATTCGAAAACCAGACTGAGGCTCTAAAATACTTGAAATTAATAAATAGGAAGTAATAGACAAAAAATTACTTACTTGTCAGGACTGACAGTAAAAATAAATATTCAGTATATGAAATAATCCCTTAAAAAAAATATATGTCAATTTAAAAGAAAAATTGTAATATCTAACATACCTTTATCTCTTAAACTTCTAAATAGTCTAGGAGATCCTTGGTTTAGAGGTGGGGTGGCATCTTTGATTTTTTCTAATTCCTTAAGAGTTAATACCTTTCGTTTTAATCTAGCTATAAAATTACCATTGTTTTATACAGTGCGAAATAAAAATCAGTACCACTTACGTCTAGGTTCTGCCTCAACAACTGATTCCAGGAAGTCTTGAGGTGTCATGTATAATTGGCCATCATATTCGACAGATGCAAACCTTATAAACCTTTTTTCCCTTGATGTTAGTTTTACAACTTTTACATCCTCATCCTGAAAAAAATTATATATCTAAATTTTTTATATTTGCTTGTTCAAATAATTTTTTTGTTAAATTAAGGAAAAATTTTCTCGACTTTTTATGTCTTATTATGTTCTATACACAGTGCGGGTCACTAACTTAATACTTAATAACTAATAAATTTAGCATATCGAATACAAAATTGTTTTAAAAACAGGCTCAGACATGTTGATTAGTATTATGAATCGCGCACTTAAAAAAACTATATTTAAGTGTATATACGAGTGTTCTAACTAGGAGATATGACGTCATCGTTGATTTTTTAAACGGCAACCGTGAGTTTCTTCCGTTTTTTTTTGAAGGGCGTGTAAAAATATATACAGGGTGTCCCGAAATTCATGCAACAAAATTTGGTCATAGATTCTTAAAACAAATTTAGGGGCCCCGTATTTTTGCCAACTGGCCCCCTCTTTCGGAGTTACAGCCCCCTGAAATCTGCCACTAAGAAGTTTTTTTTTATATCTCAAAACCATGTTGTACGAGAATCACTAAATTTGGCACACAGGGGTTTTATGACATGTGGAATCTCGCAGTGCTACGCTTTTTGGCAAGAAACGCCCTTAAGACACTTTTTCGTGGGCCCCCTTGCCTTTGGAATCAGAAAAATTTGGTCCCAACTTTGATTTTTTTTTAAATTATTAATTAGCTAGAAAGCCATTGAATTTTAGAAGCTTTTTTGTCTCTTGATATTTGTTTCGTAAAACACATGTTTTTGAGGCAAATGGTGAATCACGATATACATTCGATCACATTCTGAAAGAGACAAAAAATTTCTAAATTTAATGGCTTTCTAGTGGACTGATAATTTTTAAGAAATTTAAATATGCGACCAAATTTTTTTGGATCAAAAGACAAGGGGGCCCACGAAAAATTGTCTTAGGGGGTTCCCTGCCAAAAAAACGTAGCACCATCAGATTCCACGTGTCATAAAACCCCTGTGTACCAAATTTAGTGATTCTCGTACAACAGGGTTCTGATATATATAAAAAAAATATTCTTAGGGGCGGACTTCAGGGGGCTGTAACTCCAAAAGAAGGGGCCACTAGGCAAAAATAAAAAATACGGGTCCCCTAAATTTGTCTTAAGAATCTGTGACCAAATTTTGTTGCATGAATTTCGGGACATCCTGTATTACCACTAAATTTCAAATATTTATTCCGAATCGTTTCCAAGAGATAGCAAGTTAAATATTAATCTTTTACGATTCTTCTAATTTAAAAATGTGCTTTATTCATGAATTTCTAAGTGTAACAAAATAACAAATTGAAATCAACCTAATAAAATAATGCACACATTTTAAATTACAAGAATGGTGAAAGAATAATATTTAACTTGCTGTACCTTGGGAACGAGGAAGAATAAATATTTGAAATTTGGTAGTGATGTATAACTTTACAGGTACTTCAAAAAAACTTTTTGAGTTGACGTTTAAATAAATAATCGATGACGTCATGCAAATCTCCTAGGACTAATTGACGTACCTGAGTTAATGTAGTGACTCCGCACTGTATTTAAATTGAAACGCACTGCTTTTTTAAATACCTACTTAGAAGAACAATGAACAATATATACCTTTTTACAACAAGTTAATATTCACGTTATTTGTGATATATGATTCGGAGGTAGTAAATAGAGGCGCTAACCCTAAATGATGAAATTATCTTTATTTCGATACCAAATACCGACCAAACGTACTGTTTTACCTGTTTAGCTCTCCCGTGACATTCCATAAATTAATGGTACAGGGTGATTAATGAGCAGTAGTTGTCGGTTTAAACCAACCTTATTTATTCCTTATCCGCTTAATTTAACATCTCGGAATTTGTTAAAGAACTACCACACTGATGCATTAGTTTTTTTTTCTGTTCCCTTATCCTCACTTTAATTTTGTCAGACAAATTTTTTGACAAATCGAGAATGATATATTATGTACCTACCCTGCTAGAACTGAAATAAGTACACCGACGTTTTCTTTGATTTCATGGTCTATATTTTATTCTAGTTGAAGTGTAACTCTTGGGAGTTTAGATATAACATTTATTTCCCTACAATCACGCTATGACGTATATTTTTTCAAGAACAAAACCAATTGCTTTTTTATTTAGAGATTACCTAGAAAATTTAGGTATTACATCACATAATCTATCATATAATAACTGAAAATAAATACAATATGGTATATTACCATATTTTTGATATTCTGTATCTAAAAAAAATAGCTTGTGACATTGAAAACCGTCGAAAAATAGAGTTCGGTGTTGTCTACATTTCTTTTTTTTTTAACCATTGTCTTCCTATTAAGCCAAGGTAGTTAAGTATTATTTTCGGCATCCGTTTGTAACAAAGATTATTTTGTTCGCGTTGCGTTTGATATTACCCTTCTCACGTTCTCTGGGGCGTCTAAATTGGGCAGAGTCGCGACCAGGGCAGATAAGAACACTTCTTCGGAGTGTGGACTTCTTATACACCCACGCAGTTCGGTAAGGTGATACGAGATATCTAGTAAGAAGTAAGGTCTCAAAAGGATTTATGAAGTAGTGAAGAAAATTTAAAATATATTAATTGGTCTTACAAGCCTAGGGCAAAAGATCCCCTTTTAATCATGCACATTACAAATTATATATGATATATATGTTTATAACTGATTTGTCCACATTCAATTTTTCGTTTAAACAAAAAAAAGAAAACTCCGACTAAAAATTCTATAATCAAATAATTTTCATCATTTTAATTATATTTTTCATATTAGACGTACAAAAGTTACATTGTAAAACTCAGCCTTTTATAACAAGTTCTATTCAAATGCCTGAAATTAAATATACATCATAAAAATGCTAATTAATGATAAACATCTTTTTTAAAACCATATCTTAATATATTAAAAATAAGGCACTAATTTTCATATTTAAGTATTTACTATAAAAATAAAACCACCCTATTCGAAGGTTCTAGACATACTTAAGCTGTAAATGAAAAATTGTTTTTCCTGCATCTATTATAGACTAAAAAACTATCGAGTCTTCACACTATTAGTTAAAGTCCTACCCATTAGCTCCCTATAAATAAACAAAGTGATAGTGTCGTAGTTAAAGTAGAACCCTTGATGTCATTGTCTGATAGGGGGGTAATAAATAACCTGTATAGTATGAGCTAGTTGTGTGGCCCAGATGAGTGACATGTATAATAAACCCAACTACTAATCCATCACTGCTTAATAGTCTAGGTAACGAGAATTTGCATGGAATTTTTAGGATTCCTCGTAATTTTTATTTTACAACAGTTCTGAAACGGTGCTTTCCGGTCGAATAATGGTTTCAAGAATATCAGTAGACTATTCAAATGATCATTTACAAGACATGTATTGGTCACAAAAATTATGAATCAGATTAAAGTAATGGTGCATACCTTTATATAATAACTTCAACAGTATATTATAATTAAGTATATGGTTCCAATTTTTTTTTTTAAATAGATGTAAAAAAATTTCTTTCATATTTTTATAATGTTTTTTTTAGACCAAAGCAATGGGCGCAAAAATACATGCTTATAAGTATTATCAAAATCATTAATAATTAGCAACATTTATACACGAAAGTTAATATAGTGGACGGGATTTCCTGTATCTTAGATAGTATAAAGTTGTGATACACGTACCTAATAACCAGTTATCTACTAAAGTAGTAAATTTTACATGTATGCAATGGTTATGTGATAATAATAAAATAAATAAATAAATCACAAGTGCTTTTATTTCTTATCACTTAGAAAAACAAACCTACTACAAATACAAATTTATGATAATTAACAATTTATTATTTGTTAATTAAACCGCGCGCAAACGATTTTCAAAATATGGCGGTAAAGAGATAAAAATAACTTAGCTACAGAATTATAACTAGAACACCTAAATTCACCAGAACTTCCGCTGTAATATTAAACATTAATGGATTGTTATATTTTGTAAACAATCCGTTCTGGATTTAAGCAAATATTGGTATACTTACATTTTTTGACTGTGCTGCATGGACCTTTTGAATCGATCGGATCTTATGAACTGTGTACAAAGCTACTGATCCTCCCAGAATACATATTGCAGTTAATGGATAATTTTTATTTACTGATTGAACACTTATTTTACTAAATTGGCGTAAAGTATTAGATTTATTTAAATATCTTCGGAACAATTTGCTAGCTGTGGCCATTTCGACAGATATCAGCTGTTAATTGAATTGGGTACTATAAATGGAATGCTTATGGGATCTTCTAACGGTGGTTTGTTACTTTTCTAAACTAACTTATTTAGTTCTAGTAGCTGCCGATGGAGGGCAGTAAAATAAAATGGTGACAGTCTGGTGGCGGTTTTAAAACAAACTCTTAAATTGTTTTTTAATAATTAGTTATAAATGAAAATCAGTGATCTGTCAGTAATCAATGAAATTTTTATATGTAAGTGCAAGTGCTCTACATGTTATTTGTTTTATTATAGTTACTTTATTTTTATGGTATTATTTATTGGTCAAACGAGTTGATCTAACCTACTTACTTTTTTATGTGTTTGTTGTATATTAACCCTTCAACTTTAGGCTAAACTCTATAAATTATAGTATGCCGCTTTTCAATTGGGGTTTATTATAATTATTATATTATACTATAAATCAAGATCTATAGATCAATCAAACGAAATGTCATGGACGATTCTATTTATAGTTTAAAACAATTCAGTATTTCCGTTCGAAAAGTATACGTACTTATTTATATAATATAATTAACATTTTTCTGTATTTATTTTCTAATATTGGTATAACTGCAAACTTTACGAAAATTTAGATTAACGTGATGTGATCTAAAGGCTAGAGGTAACGATGCATTTTCGTAGACAAACAAGAGACAATCAGAGTTTGACAGTTTTTATAAATTAAAAACGGTTGTGTGAAAAACTTGGGTGGAGTGTGTTTATATAGATCTTCTTGTGTTGTGGTAAGTTTAAAATGCACTTTTATAATTAATATTATAATTTTATATCGATTTAAAACAATGACAATGCTGTAGACAATGAGAGGCACTATTAAACGATGTGTGTTACATTTAAAATGCAAAAGTTTTTGCAGTTATCAAGTTATCTACGAAAACGTCTAGACGTCAAAATTAAAATTCCCAGATGCTGTAAAGTTTTGTGTCGAACTTTATATGGTTATACACATGCAAATTAAAGGATTAAGTGGTCAAAACTGTTGTAGACATTACAGTATAGAATAGAATAGAGTTCGTTTTAAAATATCCTATGTAGGTTGGTATAACTATTTTTTATACCTAGGTTGTTTTGTGGAAAATGTATTGATACAAATGACATATTTGATGTTCATTCTTGAATAGAATCTAAGGGATGATGGCAGTGTATAATTCTGAATAGATTTTATAAACAAAATTATAAAAATATGTGATGCATATGACCACAGCATTCAATGAAATATTAATAACATATTGTCATTGTTTTACTTGTTTGATGTGTTGTTATTGTTGGCTATGGCGTCAGGAGTTAAAAACGCGTCAAAGATTATAAACTTTAATATTCCAGTCAAATGCTACGAAGGCAATTTTGCACAAATTTGGTGTGTAACCCACAAGGAATTTAACAAGTTGCAATTTGAATTTTTATAATTTCTTAATGCTTGTTTTTGATACTTTTATTAAAGTTTTCACCTGATATCATTCAATTCAATTACTTATGAATATAATGTACAGGGTGTTTTTGGCATTTTTTTTTATAAAAAATTAGGTTCAATATCTATTACTTTTGGTAATAGTAGTACCTCACGTACATTATTTATCGTAATTTTATTTTTTTAAAATTGTAGTTACTTATATGCAAAATGCAAAATTTTAGGGTAACTTATGCTCGATGTACGTAAAACTCTTTTTATTTTATTTTTTAATTCCATCTCCCATTTTGTGTACCACTGTTTTCTGGATTATTTTATGTTATCTCTTAAATACTTACAATTATTTGACTTTTTCTATCCAGAGATGGCTGATTTTGTTTAAATTTAAAATGCGATTATATTCGGTTGTATCAGGTACAACCAAACTTGTTTAAAATGCAATCAAAGTAGTCTTGCACTTGTAGTTGATTATCATTAGAAGTTGGAGAAAAAATAATTGTGTGGGTACTTACATAACACAGTTACACGGTCCGGCTATGTAAATTTTGATGTTTTATGTAGATGAAATTGTGTTACCAACTCTAATAAGACGAGACGATCCAGCAGTCGGCCGCTAAACTTCTTGTACTTCATAAACACACATAAAAACAGTTTATGGCATATATATTTTCTTAGGATGTGTACCAATCTGAAAGTAAATTAGATGTTTAAATTTTTCTTGATTAGTTATAATAAGATGAAAATAAAATTCCGTGTGTCGGTATAATTAATATTTAACTATAATTAGGTACTACAAACCAAAATATTTCAAATAATTATAAGGTGTATACTTTTTATGTGGCATTAATCTCAGCATCTATAAAGTGTTTTCCCTTTTATGAAAGCACCACTTAATTGTTTCAAACACGTTGCAGAGGCGTTTAATAGATGCTTTCTTGTTACATCATTTTTTGGTATTTAAATATTATTTATTAAACCATATAACTGTCAAGGGCAACATCAATTGCATTACTAATTTCAACCGGTAATTTAAAAAACAAATAGATTATTTACAGAATACGTGTCGGTTTTAACAGGTATAACTAATTGCACTAAAATTAAATTCTTCAATTTTTTTGTTTTTCACTTTCTACATCAGTCAATTGTTAATGTCTTGTTTTTAGTACACCTTTTAATTTTAACATTTTTGATACAATATAGTCTTTACGTTCTTCCAGATTTTAGACTGAACATTCCATTGGTAGTCCTATTTATAGTCTCGTCTCATGTTTTCGGGGCGGATAGTAGGTATATACAAAAATAAAGGAGGATGGTAAATACTATTTTTTGATATCTTAAAAGCGTTTCGAGATATCTTAATACCAATATCTTCAGGTAACTGTCAGAATTTTATCTACAATTATTTTCCAAGTACTTTTAAGATATTGCAAATAAATAACATCATCTTTTAAAGGGGGATAGTAGATTCATCTATTTTCTGAAAAAAGATTATATAAAAAGACACCTCTATTTTTTATGTATCTGCCCTGAAAATATTTTAAGTCAATTTAGGATTATGGGATCTCTTATAAGCAATATACATCTTCTCATTTTAACTTTTGAATATACAGAGTTTTAAACAGAGATAAAATTGTAGACAACCAAGCATAAATTTGTTACAAATTAAAAAATCTATTTGCATATAGCGCTTCAAAAATGAATTAGAAATTCTTAAATTAAATTGAGTAACACGGCATTCATAATTATTTGGTTTCTGATAATACAGGATTGTTGCAGGACACTGTCCTGTATTGAACCGACATTTTTTATGGTAATGGTCTCTCTTGTCCTCTTTAATATACCATGCTATTTATACATCGTCAAAAAAGTCTAGTCATATCAAAGACTGCGTTGGTCATCAGTAGTTTATAACTTAATTTAAATAAATACCTACCTACAAATCTTCCCGCTTATCTAATGGAAATATTAAAAACAAGGAAATAATATAAAACTAAAAATTTCTCCGTGATATTTTATAATTGTTTTAACGACTATTCACAGGCCCCCATAATTGATGGGTAAATGTAAGAGAAAATTTAATTGTTGTAGTATGATTTTTTCCAACAAAAATGATATGATTTATGATTATAAATGTATTTTGTTACTTTATTTCTTTTCTTTATTGAGACAACAAAAGCGACCTATTATGTTCAAAATTAATAGAGAAATAAGATGGTTTTAGATAAAGATATGAATATAAAGTATCTTTTGTTTAAATATATTAACTTTATGTATACTTGACTGACATCTAAATTTGAAAATCTATTATGAAATTCACTCAGTTGGAATACGTATACCGATAAGTTTCATTCAATTTTAGTGTTAGATTTAAATGATTTTTTTGTGGTGTTCTTATCAGTCGGCGTCTGTCGTTCTAAACGTCTCATTTTTCACTGATTATTGCGATGTGATATTAGATACGAGCACCCTTACCGAACGACCACCCTATTATGTTCGGGTAAAACATGAACATTTTTTAGTTATCTTTTGATTGACACTTTTCAATTTATCACCGACAAACCTTAAAAATCTGCATATAAATCGGTTGGCTACAGTGGCGCGTCATAGGGGTGACGTTAAATGCGTTTTTAATATTACTATATACAACTTTACACGTTTTGTACGTTCATTAATAAATAAATAACAATTTATTGAAACATTAAGAATAATTGGGTGCATACAATTTTTATAGAAAATATATCACTCAGTTAAACACTAGATTAGAAACAGAAGGTGTAGACGTGAAACAAGTAGTACTATATTCTATAGTAATAAAGGCAATCGGACCCTTTGTATATAACTTTGTCTCCGCTTATGGTTATGTTTCTACGGAAATATGTTCATTAGATCCTGAAATATTCTGTTTATTTTGTAAAACGATGGAAAGCTATGTAATTTAAAATCTCAACATTTTTTTACGTCCAAATGGCCGTATATCGAATTCTTTAACGAGGAATAAGGTTAATTAGCTTTATTTTAGAATGATTGTGTTTAGGATACATTAACTATGCCCAATTTATTCGTGGAATTGGTGATAGCACAAAAAAATCTTCGCTTCAGAGGATTCATTGATATTTTAAACATGTTAAGGTTTAAATGCGACGTATAATTGCATGTTATAATGAAACAACAATACCCCGTAAAAAAATTGTGTATAGTGTTAATATAAAACATATTTTTATTTTTTATGAAATTAGCTACATTAATGAGTACTTTTTTAGAGCAGATGGTTAAACAATTTTTTTAGACTTTTCTCTAATGGTAGTGCGGGTTTTAAAGAATTGTTTGGTAGTAATGTACCTTATGATTATTTTTTTAAGAAAACGGTTGTCAAACAGACTTCTGCCGAAATAACAAGTGACATAACTATACAAGAAAGTTTTTATTTTTCTTTTCTCTTTACACCGACCAAAAATTAATGATCTTGTTATAGAAGTAATATTTATTATTCCACGTTTCCATTTCACTAAATCACCGCCTTGGGAAAATATTTTTGTTTTAATTTATTGCGT